TAGTGGTTTCACGACAGCTACTTGGTCTCGAGGCTTATGCTATAACTCTTGGCCTTGCAGATGATCTACACAATGCATTTCATAATAGTCCCATCACCAGACTCCACTAACATCTTATTTGATATCTTATTTGATACCACAACCGGGGTATAGGGGGCATGGTTATGGATACCGAATAAACAAACATTCACTGGCCATATACAACCCCAGTCCTTACCGAAGCTGGATGCCTGGTGATGCCTGCATGCCTTTCTACGGGCACCATGAATTGTTATAATATTAGCAAAACTTGTTGCTTGGCCTAAAGACGACTTACTTTACCCCCCCTTCACAACACACCAATCTACCCCGGGATTCAGACCGTACACTACTTGTTAGCCTTACTATACTACTCCTCTACTTCTTACGGTCGTTTTTTGTCTTTTACCTATCCTTGTCCCGGGATTAGGACGTCTAAGAAATGTAATTCATTTCTTCCCTTCCGGGTTTCGGCTTCTTGTTTTGCTCTCTACCTAGTTAACCAACTTTAACGCACTGATGAAGTTCGGGCGTGTTTTCTACGACGACCTGGCTTATTCATATTTCATTTATCTTTCTATCAAAGCTAGACACCCCTATCCAGGTGTCTAAACGCATACATTGTCACTCATTACTTCATTTTTCCTACAACCCTTTCTAATATTTCTTTTCAAGCTCCATCTTGCGTGATTGGGACGCCCCCGCGGCTCCCGCTGGGAACCCTCAGCTCTGACCAAGTGTTAACACGGATAGAGGTAGGTGGGGGAAGGGTTAGGTACCTACTTAGAGGGCGTGGTATAGACACGCATGGTGGTTTGATCGGTTGGTGTCTTTTCTGTTCAAAGCATTTTATACCCTGTTTGTTTCGCAATTCTTGTAACTTTAGCTTTCTGTTTTATTCTCTTCTATTTTGCTTTGCTTGCTTTACTAGATCAATACCTTTAAGTCAGAAACGCATTTCGTCGGGTGTCTATTTTACGGACAAGTGTATTTGGGAATCGGGGACTACCATGAGAACCTAGACTAGATGATATGGTCTTGTTTATTATTGGGCTATGGGAACTAGGGCTGGGGCGCAATATTGAGAGACGAAGGAAGAGAAGCAATAGATGCATGTCAAGGATTAGATGGCGGAAGGCGTTTTGGGAACATAGCTTGTCTACCTATCTAGCCTATTTACCTAGGTATCTTTAACTTATTTATGCTATGGTTGCATCTATACGACTACTATGAGATTGTTAGGTCACTCAAAGGTTGAACCACTAGACATATCGAAAAATATAGCTTTTCTGGATTATCTTATAATGGCATGAAGAAGGGACAGCTACATTTCAGCCGGGTATCCCCCCTTACAATTTTAAGTCCTCCATCATGTCGGCCAATGTTTGCCATCTTTGATCGCCCTCCCACGAATCCTTGGCCTTCCCCATTACGCTCCTAACCGCGCTTCTCGCCTTACCCTTCCACTTAGTACCGATGATATCTATGCGTGATCCGTAATTTTCGTACGCCGCTACTAGCTCCGATGTCCTTTGAACTACAGCATCCCATGCGTCTGGATCTGTTAGCCAGCTCCCATGTTGGCTTTGAACGCCGCCAGATGCTGATAACGAACTCCCGACCCCGCCGACAGCCGTCCTCCACGCCTTCTCCGCTGCGTCCAGTGCGCCTGTCCAGTCTTTCCTCCAGGCACGAAGGCGTGACACCAGAGCCCAGGACGCCGAATTTGTCGTAATGATGGGCACGATATCATTCTCGAAGAGCGAGATGATCTTGCTTTCGATGGTACCCCTTGCTGGCTCGAATATTTTCCCTTCTTCGATGTTTGTGGGGACAGGCGTCTTAGTCGCCTCTCTAACCAGGAGGGTCAGGATATCAAGATCCAATGCGTCTTCGCTCTTGCGAATGCGGATTACATTTCTAACTCCGATAACCACATCTTCTAAGTCTGGATTTGGTGAGATACTTGCTGCCAGAGTGATTACGTTATCCCAAATTCTCCAGTTCGAGTCGGCAAGTGTTGCTCCACGCTTAAAGGCCATTAAGGAGTCGTGCAATAGATTATTTGCGGACTTTCCCAGTTCAGCGGCGCGCTTCGTGCTTGTCATCCCGTCCAAAGAGTTAGAATCATCCTTGTCAAGCTTTTGCTGTCGTTCTCGTGTTTCCGAGATAATTTGGCGATACCAACTTAGGAGGGAAGTTCCAAGGTTGCTCCATGTCCTCGCATCTTCACCACCGGAAGTGTTATTTGCGCTTGAGATTGCTCTCTGGAACGCCTCAGCCGCATCAGGGAAGTTTCCAAGACGAAGCTCGATATCACCAAGTCTGCTCCACATCTCTGAGCTTAGCCGATTAACTCCAACAGCAAGTTTGTATGCTTCTCGAGCTTCTTCCCATCTCTGCATTCGGAGATGGAGCTCACCGAGTGACCTCTGCGCCCTTGAATAACGTCCATTGGAAATATCCCATGCACGTTGATAGTACTTAGGATCGTCCTCCATATCTCCTAATATGCAAAATAGGCGAGGGGCATTGGGAGGTGGAGGGGATCGTTCTGAACCATAGAAGTCAGTCGCCTTTAGAGATGAGATATCGAATTCGACATCGTCCTCGTCGTAATCATCTTTCGGATTGGCGGCACCTTTAGCATCAGGAGTGCGATTGAATAACCGCCATCGCACGATAGCCCGAGCTTTTTCTTCGCCTCCGCTACCCCGGCCTTCCTGATCATCAGCCGCCGCGCTACTTGCTAGACAGAGCGCAACTTCTGCCCACAGCCGTAGGCGTTTGAATATCTCCAAGGCCGAGACAAGTGATCCAACCGTTGTCCAGGCGTAGGCGAGCTCGGACTCGAGGTGCCAACGCGGTGGAGCCGACAAAGCATTGACATACCGTAGCCTCTCCTGCGGCGATGCTGATTCGGCCGGTTTGGGAACGGGGAAAAATGATGTTGGTTTTTGAAGGTCATCCTGCAGGCCCTTCCCGTCATCAGGCGTCACTTGGATGGCGGGGATATCGGGTGTGGTTTCTGGCTTATTTGCACTTTGACGTCTCGTCCCATCTAAGCCATTGGTCTCTTCCGTATCCACGATAACCTGATCCACAAGGGCCTGCATCTGCAAAACTGCACGTTCAACAGTTCGACTTCTGTTCAACTCAATTCGTGACCTTACGAGAAGAGCTTGGGTGTATGTTTGCCAGTTGGTTGACTTATCGTCAATCACTCGGAGAGCGAAGGGTAAAATCTCTTCCGAAGTCAGCGAATCTGCAGGTGAAAAGGTATCTTTTATGGTTGCTTCAGTTAAAAGTATGATGTGGTCCTCCGGACGAAGCTGCGGTTGTTCGTCCGGTTTAATATCTTGTAACTCGACTGGAAGAAGTGAAGCTCGACTATCGATTACATGGCTATCAAACTTGATGTTCTCTAACAAGGTATCATCGTTTAGAGGAAGCGCAATGGGTGTGGCGTTGGAGGCGTGGTCTTGTCCAGGTACCGTAGGAGGTAACGCATGACTTTTAGCAAGTACTACGAGTTGACTGATATTCTTCTCTTGAAACCGTGTACGCTTTCCAGGGGCTCCAGAAAGAGCATAAGAAAAGCCGCTAATCTTGGTGGCTAAGTTCAGGGCCTCTCGAGCTTTTGCATCATTGCCAAGTAAGATATGGCAGGCTGCCTCTTCCAGAAAGTATTGGATACGATACTCTCGAGGCCATTGTGTCTTTTCCGAGACTTGATCCGTCTCTGTCGGCCTAGTCACAGAAGTGTCGGCTTCTATAATGCTTTTTTCAATAATCTCTTGGAGGGTTGGCACGTCTGTCCAGCGGCCGCTCTTGGTGAATAAAGACCCCGGACCTAGTGAGGGCTGTGTGATGAGTTTATAATGCCAGAGGTGAATCCTCAGCCGAGTCCAGGAGAGGTGTAGCGGGATAGAATTCTGCGAATCTGACCAGACTTCAGGTAACTCAGTTGGTAATACAAGGCCTGTTGTGAAGATGAATCTCGACAAGCAAAAGAGCTCTATATGGGGTATGTAAGGATACGGAGAAACGCCATCCACCTCAAGCCAGCTGAGACAAAGCCTCCTTAAAGACGTTAAAGACGTTAAAGACGTTACCGACTTCGTGCCATTGCTTAATTCAGTAGGAGACTTTTCCTTATCGAAAGCCGAAACAAAAATAGCTTCAACTGAGCTAAAACCTTGGAGAACTGGACCTGTAACGTTTGCCTGTAAGAAAGCACCTAGAGAAGCTAGGCCAAGGCGAATTGTCTCAGTAGCAAGGTGGGATTTCAAGTGAGTTTCGTCGAACCCCGATTTGATTTGCTTCTCGGGTGATTGCGCCGCTATATGTTGGACAAATTGGGTTATTATGCCCTGTGCTGGTTCAGTATTAAATGGTTCAAGGAAGGACGAATTCTCAAAAGATCTCTCAATCGAGATGAGTGTATCGGGCGAGAACTCGTTGTCCACCATCTTGGACTTAGACTATGGCATAGAGTAATTTTATCTGTATTTGCCCGATTTTAGAATGGAGATGATGGTAAAATTAAATCATTATACGTAGTATAAGATATTGACTTTATCATCCGATGAAGAGTAAAAGATGTTTCAAATGATGAACATCGTTAAGACGTTTACAATACAAATATGAGTGGCATTAGAAGGGTTTGATAGTGAATGTACGTAGAATGTACGTAGAATGCGATGTAATCGATGGCGGGGGAGGGGCAATCTTGGCATTTTCTCTCTTATTTTTTTTCCTTCTTTCTTTTTGAGTTTTTCCCTCGAGTTACAAATCATTTGGCATTAGATGGTCTGTGCGAGGCCATTGGTGAACAACTCTTGCCCTTAGTACGGATTACCTTAGGTACCTAACCTAATGTACTTTAAACCCCTTTAACAGGTACCCGGGCATTAGGGAACATTTACGGAAACTGGTCGTTAGGAGACATGGTTATAAAAGTATTACAAACTGAGAAAAAATATTTTGATGTAGTCATTATTATTTCATCACTTCATCTACTACCTATTTGAGTGGACGATAGCAAAAATCCTGAGCATTGAGCTTGAGCAAGCCTCGGTGCTAAGAAAAGAGTCGTAGTTTGCATCGTGGGGCTATCTCAAGATACAACCCTCCTCGTCTAGTTCTGCACCAGTCTGTGCATACACAGATGATATTTAAAGTCATGAAGGCTTATCAAGTATCATTCATTACAAGCCTACCTTGCTGATCGATATTCGTACGCCACATTTGCTACCAGTTTGCTTTATTTCTTCCCCTTCTTTCGGCCGGGCACGACCTTGAAGCCAGCACCCTGCATCAAACTGGCATCACTAGGGGTCTCTTTGTAGCTGCTCTTCTTGGCTACCTCATTCCAACCACCTGCTGTGCTTGATTGCGTGTCTGCAGATGGGCTTTTGGCCGGCTGCTTCTCTACCACGCCTTTATCGGCTAACTTCTTGCGCCGAATAAACTCCTCGGCAAAGTGACGTCCGTCCATCGTTTTAGAGTTGGCATAGATAGCATCCGAGATAAGATCGCCTACGAGAGGGAACCCTATCAACGTGTTGGCGAAGGCTTCAACTATTGCAAATCCTCGTTAGTAGGGTTATCATTAATATGGGTTATATGCTTCAACTTACTGTCTGTGACACCTGTGATTCCTTTAGCCAACTGACCGTGAAGCCATTTGGTAAACTCCTCCATGGCTTCCGTATGGGCAGGGCCGGCCGTGGAATTCGATGCCTTAACAGCGGGTCGTGATGGGGGGGTTGCAATGGTAGTGGCCGCTGGCTTGGGAGCGCTCGGAGGTCGTACCTGTGAAGAAGGGCCAGTTGGCGGTGCCTTTACCTTACCTCCGGCTCCAACTGTAGCCCACCCCGAGGTGTTGGCGCTAGGTGCTGGATTAGGGACAGAGACAATGTTGGGTTTGCTGGCGAGATCAGCGTATCGCTTTCCGACGCTGCTTACAGGTCCGGTCTGTGAGGCTACCTCCTTCGCTTTCTGCTTGCGAGCTTCCTCTTCGCGCTGGATATCGGCCAACGTCTTTTTCTTGTCTAAGGTCTGTGCCTGAGCCGTAGGTCCAGCCGCCGGTATCTTCCCCGGGGCCGGTTTTGCCCATGGGCTGCTGGCTGTACTAGGATTGACAGGCGACGCGGTTCCCCACGTGCTGCTTGTAGGTAGACCCGGAGCAGCAGCCGCAACCTTCTCGCGTTCTCGAGCTGCCTCTTGTTCAAGCTGAGCACGTCGGGCAATAGCCGCTTCCTCTTCTGCCTTAGCTACCTTCTGAGCTTCCGCCTGTTGGATCTCTTTGAGGCTGGGTCCCTTATGTGATTCTAACCCGCCGTCCTTAGCCCACGGGGCAAGCGGGGGCGGTTGAGCCGCGGCTGACGACGGCGTCATGTCAGGTGTGCCAGATCGAGAACTCGTAGCGTATTGCTCTGGTAAATTAGATTTGACGCGTTGTGGGGCGGGAGCAGGTAAAGGTGTAGCGGATGGAGGCGGCGGGAAAGGCATTGGGAGCCCGCTGATTTTTGCGGCGACTGCAGCAGCTTGAGCCTGCTGATATTGCTTTGCCAAGACAGCCGACTGCTCATTCTCAACTTGATGGCGGGTAGCCTCTCCACCAGGGGATTGTTCAGAAACCGATTCGGGCTCAATAGGGCGTGCGGGTGAGCTCATTTGCGGAGCCTGCTCGTTAGACTTATTGCGAAGAGGCGACGCTTGTCGTCCCGCCATTTCGGCATCGTGTTGTGCCCTAAGCTTTTCGAATTCCTGCAAGCGCCCTCGAAAGCCTTCTACGTCTTCGCTGAGTTCACTAGAGTTGGGGAGTTGGCTGCGCACACCTGCTTCCGAAGCGGGCGCGCCGATGGGCTGTGGTGGGAGGCTGCCGCCTATCGCCCCCGTACCATGGAGGCCAGCCAACATCTGGCGTTCTGGTCCTGTCAGACGAGCTAGGTCGTCCTCTCTGAACATTTCTAGTCCTTGTCCAGAACTACCTGGGACGGCGGCTTGATGTGTAGCTGGCGCGTCGAAAAAAGAGCCCGGTGTTCCAATAGCACCAATAGGGGGTTGTGGGGGCATTGTGATGGGCGATGTGATGCTACCAAAACTCGGTTGACTTTGGAGGCTGTGAGCGCTAGAATGATGATGCAACCCCGGGACAGCGGGCATTGGGACACGGCCCATCGACTGCTGGGTTGCGTAATATTCGCGATGGCGAGCCATCAAGTATTGCTCTTCCTGCTTGCGTCTCTCGAGATTGTTCTGCTCTTCTGCCGTCAAGGTCCTGCCGAAACTAGGAAAGGCATTGACTAGAGGCGGCTGTATCACGCCACCCGAGTTAGAGAAAGGACCAGTCTGAGATGGCGGACCGTGAGGTATACCGATCTGAGGAACAAGGAAGGGCTCGCGAGAGTTGCCGATGCGTCTAATCAATTGGCCCAAAGGCTCGAACTCCGAATCCTCTAGTTTCTTGACACGAAGGTCAGGCGTAAAGAAATTAGCTTTGTACCAGTCGTTCATTTCTAACCCGGTGAATGGACCCTGTTGCTGGCCTTGAGGATCTAGGTAAACCCATCTCATACGGTCGGGCATAACCATAGTGCGAGACTGGACAGAAGGGGGTTCGGACGTCTGGCTGGCGGCATAGGATGGTGCATTGCTAGTCGCCGTAAAAGTCTGGTTGTGAGGAGCGGCCGAGATACCATGCAGACTTTCAGAATTGACTGGTGTTCGACTAGTCTCGGCCTGAGCAAACATGTCGGCAAATATTCCCCTGCCGGCTCGCATAGGGCTATCAGTTTCGCGGCCATGATCGCCGGGGGCAGTACGGCCGATAGCACCTAATGGATTAGGTTGACGAAGGTCCGGCATCGAATCGCTAAGGCTTTCATTGTCCTGGCTTTGCATCTGCGCCTGCATGGCTGGCGGAAATAGAGAACCGAGCTTGCTTGCTCGACCAAAAGATCCGGAACCACCAAAGCCAGTCGTGCTCGCGGGACCGAACACGCCGCCAAGATTACCGAGGCTTGGGGACTGCAGGTCTCCAACAGGGCCGAAAAGTGAGCCGCCAAAGCCCGAGAAGGGGGCACGCTCGCGGTCTGGCGTACTGGAAGATGGCCAGCCAGTTAGATTACTCAACGGCGGGTAGGCCTTCGCTCCAACGCTGGATGTCTGACTACGATCGCTACCGTCAAACGTAGCATGGGCAAAAGAGCGTGGCAAACCCCCGCCGTAGCCGGAGACATGGTCGGCGATACCGGTTGGGCCGTGCTGCCTGTCCCCCACGTCCTCGTGCTCATTTCGTTCGCCCGGGGGGCTTCTATAAGGATTCGTTTCGGACGGACTTAAAGGCGCTTGTTCATGTTCCGGGTGCCCCCCCAAGTTGAGACTGGACATTCCGAAGTCACTAGTAGATCCTTTCACCGGCGTATCGTACGAGGTATGAAGAGGCGGATGAGACATTGGAGGAGGACTCGTATCTTGAGCGCCTCCCAGAACAGCACTTCCCGAGACGCTGTCTTCGCCGCCGAAGGGGTCCGTATCGGTGCGCTGGCGCGGGCGCCAAAGACGGTTAGCATCCGGAGTAACACCCTCACCTGCTTTAGCAGCAATACTATCAGAGCTCTCCTTAGGAATCAAGTGCGCTAAGCGGCTTTCGCCACGAGGATTTCCAGCTCGCTTCTCCCCAATCGTAGATCCAGTAAGCGCAAAATTCCCGAAACTACCTATGCCAGGCAAGGTGGTCGAGGCCGACGTCTGCCAGAGAGATGCTCCTCCGAAACCCGAGCTACCCGGAGCCGTATTGTTGCGTATTAGATTACCAAAAGGCAGAGATTTAGCGGGGGCCTCCCGCGCACTAGTATCCTCTTCGGGTTCCTCAAAAGTTGAATCCTTCGGGTCCATATTCTTTCGGCCAAACCAGAATGACGCATCATCTCGAGGTGGGCGCGTAGCAGACGTCGGAGAAGTCAAGCCACCACCACCAGAATATGGGTTCGTATCGGTAGTTTCACGTCGTCTCGTCCCAGGTCTTGACGTAGTTGAGGGTGAAGCGAGTCCGAAATTGCTTGAACTTCCGTGGGAAAGAGAAGCTTTCCGACCGTTTATCCCTCCTCCTGGGTGATTCCCGTCTTTATTCTGAGCCGGGGGCTTTACAGTAGAATTTACGTCGGACGCGAACAACTATTTCAAAAGTTAGTCCACGAGATGACTTATTTTGACGGTCGAGACTTAGGGCGGCGACTCACTTCTTTCTCGTCTGGGCTCATCTCCTGTAGGCCGACTGCCGTTGTCGATCCTGGTGCATCCCAACAGATATCTGGCTCTTGAGGGGCGACGTGGGACTCGGCAGTCTTACCCCAGCCTCTCGATGTCGTACCATTGACATGTCCCGGGGTCCATCCGGGCGCGAACAGAGCAGAGACATCGGGCCGTTGAGGATTAGACACGTGAACGACGCTGTAAATAGAGAGGAGCTGGTCTCGCGAGTATCTAAGGATGCCCGAGTTATCGACATTGGTGGAGCCAACCGGCATGGCAGAAATAACGGCAGGGTCAGCAGAGGCTGACTGGATGGTTTCGGAATTTTGCATCTGGCTATTGAGCGACTGGCTCGAGGGCGTAGTCGATATTCGACGGAAAGTTAGAGTGCCGCCGTTGGTTGATCGTCCTGACCTAGACCTAGAAAAAGGGAAAGAAAGGGGCAATCAGCTTGCTGTCAAGGCAATCCAACATATCTAATAGTAGCAGAGTAGTAGTAATAGGCAATAACAACGTACCATTCGCCGCTAGTATTATTCCCTCGACCATCACTTCGAGCACCCGATCTCGTATCACGGCTCGGGTTCTGACCGGCAGCTGCTGAGGCGAAACTTGAGGGGAGATTTGAGGTCATTGTCACGGTTAGGGGGGCTGCAGCCTTTATTCGCGAGAAATATAACCGATAGTAATGATCGGCGAAGTGGCGTGTTGAACTTTGGAAATTCGAGACGACTCGGAAGAGGATTGAGGAGGATTGAGGATTCAGGCGTGTTCCAGTCTGGTTTGTTTTGTTAGTGTCGCCGTTGCGCGACGAGAGTGTAAAGCAAGGTGCCTAGGGCTTATGCATACGCGAATGTGAATGTGAATGTGGATGTAGATGTGGATGCAGATGAGGATGTGGATGCAGATGCGGCTGTTAATGCGGTTGTGAATGCTTTCGAAATACGAGTTACGAGTATCAAATGAACAATACGTTTCATGGAAATGTTGTCGCAGGCGTAATAATAGCCGATTCTGCTTCGTAAAGCTATTTTGTGCAATAGGTAGGTACAGATGAAAGTTGTTGTTCTTCTCTGCAAGATGCGGTGGTGTCGAGTTTCTTCTCTGGTGACGACTTGGAAATTCCTTAATTTTTTTTTCTTTCCTCTTGTCGAAATTTCAGGGTGGACACCGGACGGTAGAGTTTCCTAGGCAGCTGGAGGGGAAGAAGTACTAGCCATCCGCCAGCTGTCAGCTGCCACGCATAGGAAGTGGAAGCTACCCAGGTACCTTAGGTACTTTAGGTACTCAGCCACAGGCAACCCACTCCTGCAGTTTAGGTACGGTGGAACTTTACATGAGAGCCACACACGAAATGACTGATGTCCTTTTACACTAGGTACAACATGACTCGGCTCCATCCCCAAACTTCAAGCTAAATGAAGGACAAGAAACTAGCCCAAACTGACCAATTCAAATATATTGCAATCCAGTTAAATTAACCTATCAACCTTGCCCATTTCCGACCTCTTCCATAAGATCCAAGTTACCATATACCTAAAGAGCCGCAGAGTAAAGTACAAAGGTATTAGCGGTAGGTATGTGTTTACTGTTCATTGCTCAATGGCAAATGGTAAATAACTGAAGATGCAGTGTCACGTATCATTGATTTTCTAAATCAACGTCCAATCATTCATTCTATATAGATCGTCCAGGCCTCTTACATATATACCTTAGTAACATGTAAGTACCTCCTATGTACTCAAAGGATAAAAACGAATACATCTTAGAAACCCCATTGCTTACACCAATGCTTCATCAACTCGGGTGTAATAGGTTTGGCAGACTTCATGGTTCTACTACGCTCTATCGTATGCGTCATATCGAAGATAAAAGGCTTCTGACCTGCTTCGTGGGCGCCAGCCATCCCTCGATATGAATCGATTAGCTTAACACCCGGGTTCCTGTCTATATCTTGAGCGTCGCTGGTCTGGCTCTGCTCTAGTCGGCCAACCCAGTCCTTGAAGCTAATAAGTTCCCGGATACGATCTTTCCCGTAGAATTCCTGGACAGCCGGAGCAAGCTCTGCCCATGATGTGGCCGAAGGATTAACACCGTGATAGTAACCAGTAATATTCTGAGCGGCAACCTTCTGAGACACCCCGGCGACTTCTAGAACCAAGTTCGCAATACGTTCAGCTGGCGTCCAGTCGACGCGGTCCATAATTCCGAGGTGACCCGGAAGAGCTCCGAGGTACAAGCTGCTCGCAATAATAGAAGGGAGCCACTCGTGTTTATTCCAACAGCCGGCCTCTGACTCAGGGCCGGCGATTTGACCAACTCGGATTATCGCGGCTGGGAAATCACCTACTTTCGCAACGTCATCTAGAATAAGGCTCGCCACCATTTTGCTACGCCCGTAGCCGCCCCCTGCGAGCCCTAGATCTTCGAGCCTTTGTTCTGGTATCGTCCCCTTTTTGCCATCCCAATTGTCTGCGGTGCCTATCGACGATATAAACACGACAGCCACGCGCTTGGATGAGTTAGTCGCGAAATCAGCAACATTCCGGACACCTCGAATATGTGGCTCAAAGGATTCGACGGGAATATTAAAGTTGACCGGCCACGCATTATGAATAAAGCGGTCCGCTTCATTTAACAGCCGGCTATAGACGTCGGAAGGAAGTCCAAAGTCCGGGCGTGACATGTCTGCATGTAAGAATTCGGCTTTGGATGTAAAATCTGTATTGAGACCTCGGTCATTAGCAGCCTGCCTCTGACGCTTGATACCGCCATCCTCAGCTCTATTCAAACAGATAACTTTCTTCACCAACGGACTCTTCACGAGGAGATCCAGCATGTAAGATCCTAGCATACCCGTGGATCCGGTAAGGAGGACCGTCTGATTCTCATCTCCAGGGTCAGATCTTCCTTCCCTCTTCCTCGGTATGTCGTCCGTATACTTCTTCCAGAAAGACTTCATTGCCTGAAGTTCGTGGTCTTGGCTTCTCTCGGTGTTCCCATTGTCGCCTTCTTTCACCACAGAATAGAGATACCGAGCAAGTCTTCGCGGTGTGGGATTGCCATATATAACATGAGCGGACACCTTCGCCGCGTCGACATGGAAACCTGAAGCTTCCAGTCCGCTACGGAGGAATCGGGTAGCATTGATAACTTGTAAAGAGTCAATACCAGTCGAGAAAAAGTCGGTGTCTGGTTCGAGTTCCCCTTTAGATCCAAGTCTAGTTCCGAATATATCCTTTATGGATTCCGCCAGTGCGTCCTCAGAATTCATATCAATTTGCGGAGCAACTCCGTCGAAAGCTTTGTCTGCTTCTTCGTAAAGTTTGTCGATCTCTTCCTTATACAACTTGAGCGTACTTGCTCGTTGTACAGTTCCCTTGCCAGCGCGGTGAAACGGCTTGTCTGGGCTAGCCAACGTGATGAGCTGGCGTGCTATCTGTCCGTGGGCGGCGGTTACGCTATTTGCCTTAGCAACATATGGCCAGACGCTATCAAGCAGCTGTTCGGCTTCTTGATCATTTTTAGGATTGATCATGGGTTCTAGAAGGAGACCAGCTTGAAAGTGATCTGAGCCCACTACCAAAGCACCCTTGATTCCGGGATGATCGACAACAATTTCCTCAATGGTCACCGGATTAAGCTTTTCTCCGTTAGAAAACACGATGACGTTGTCAGATCTTCCGTAATAAATCCAATGATCCGGTAGAGTTGGATGGCGCTTATACATGTCCTTAGTGTCGAACTCGTCGGCCTCCGGGAAAGTATAGAAAACACCCTGAAGACCTGGATGCTTATCTTGTCGGACAATTACTAGTTGATAGACGTCTTCGGTACCTTCTACCTTGCGCCAATCCGCTCCGATTATATCGGAATTGAATATGAAATATTGCCAGAGCTCCGGGTTCGGCTGAAAGTACATCTGAAGCATCATATATCTAAGATTGTTAGATGTATTTGATGAATGAAATTGGCCCTGAGCCGTAAGTGGACTTACTCCGTAGCACCTATCACATTGGCAAGTCTTATTCCCCTCTTGACTAATCTGTCCCCGGCTTCTTTGTTAAGATTTCCTGCTGGAATTAGCCCCTCTGGCAGAAGTAGAATTATTGCTAGACATTTATCACTAACCTCCACCGAAAGCAACAACCTTAAGTTTCGTCAGTGGCCGAATCCACTCTTCATTCTGACTCATCTCTTCCACCATCGCTGGTGGAAGCATAGCTCCCTCGACATCCAGGTTATCGAGACACTCGACGATCAAGTCAATTGATAAGGGGCGATCACTGATACCTAAGGCGATCGGGGTATCAAAGTATAATACGCAGAAGAGAAAGAGATATAGTCCGGCCGCGTGAAAAGGGGGCACTGAGACATATCAGCAAATCGAGCCATAAGCTTTGAGAATCTAAGTAGGTAGTTAGCTTACTTGGCAGAAAATGTTTGCGCGATACCTTTGTAATCCCTCGCATCCAAGGTTCGAATCCATTACCAAATGTATGTACGTCATGACGAATATCATTCATAGCTATCAGACCCTGTTTTATGACGACCGGCTTCGGGATTCCAGTGCTTCCGCTGGTATGAAGAACTACCAATGGATCCCAATCAGCTTGCTCGAAAGTCTTTTCGTAGGGGTACGGTTCGACGTCCTGCTCAGGGAACCAAGTTTCGACGGGGCCTACTTCGATTGCCTTCATTTCGCGTTCTTCTAGCCACGGACGGACTGATCCTCGTTGTGGCTTTGCAAAAGCAAGAATATGACAATTCGTCTTATCAAATAGACTTAACTGCCCCTCGAGAGAATTACGGGGAGAGATAAACAAAGCCTAAAACAGTCAATTCCGGATACCCAATACTCATGAGGAAGATTACCTTGTAGCCGGCCTTGACGGCGCCAACTAGTAATATGACATAACGAGCGTCGTTTGGGCCAACATAGGCTATTGTAGGAAAGGAACCCTCTGATGGGGTGCCGCATGTCTGGATGATCCTGTACGCGATGTGGTTTATGGCGTTTGCGTACTCTTTAAAGGTAATGGATTTCCAACCATCCTTGGGGTTGTCAGAGCGCGGTACAAGGAACGCCTCTTTCTTAGGATCCGCCCTCGCGATATCGTCGATTATATTGGGAACCAGCCGATACTTGCAATGTTGATCCTGCTTGGATCCATTTGTCTCCTTGTCTATCATGTCGCCTATTTCCCTTGTCAGTGCTTATTCGGGAGCTCGCCTTTCTTTCTATGCTCGTGCTACGAAGGATAAGGTACAACAATTCAGACTTGCCTCTTTCCTTTCTGTTGCTATCAATTCAGTAATGTTGGCTAGAACTTGAATAGGATTTATTGCCAATACTCCCGGAAGGCAAGGTCAGAGCAGCGCCTTGGTTATTATAGTCAAATGAGTACAGATCGAATCCCCGGTCAGGTGGAGGCCACAGCATAAAATATCATGTGTCAACTGTGGTGGAATGAGTATCTGATAATTCCGTGGCCTGCCATGTAGTGTAATGGTTGCATCTTGGCTCCAGCAAAGGAAAATACCGTCACGACCTATATCCGAATCCCGGAAGCGGGCAATTACAAATACATCTACCCCGGGGAGGCTACAAATTTACCTAGGGACAATATGTTACAGCATTGCTAAATTTCCTAAACAGCTAAAGTAAATGAACCAAGGGGGACATATTATCTACCTCATAAGCGGCTATAGTCGGTCACAAATCGTTGATATCTAACATGATAGACATAATTCGTGTTATGGGATTACGAACCAGCGAATCTAAAACCCCTATATCCTTCAGGACTTACGTGAGGTATCACGAATATGCGTCTCATGACCAAGGATGTGACACCAGTTTTGATGCCACACCCGGATATATCATGGTTCCATCCACTCAAGAATGTTCCGTGAATATCAAGGACTTATCTTTGTCTCGCTTGGCGACTAAGATTTGCATAGTAGGAAAGGCCATGAAGGTTCAGACTGCCCTGTATGTCGCTCATACGCCCTGTACATTGGTACACAAATGACATGTTGTGGTGGTTTTCCGTTGGTCAAGAAATTAATTTGGATCCAACCGCTCATAATATGTGCAGGTTATTCCCGGATACTACTGGGAACAGCACGGATTTCTTGATCACAGCTCAATTCTAAAGTATTATGCTGATTGAGCTGAGCACTTTGATTTGGTACGGTTTTCGGGGTAGCCGAGCAAAAATAAACCGCCCTATGGCCTCGATGATCAAACGCAGACCTCGGCTTCAACATTTTCGGCCGAACCGTATCGGACCCGGGTTCAACAACCCATAACGTTACTTCCCCGAGAATTCGGACATTAAGTATCGCGGTAGAAGAGACTCGCATATAGGGGAAGTAGCTCTATACAGAGCATTATTATAAGAACCTAATGATAGGAAAGAACGTTGCATATTGCCGAGTCAAATTATGGACGACATTGAGGTCATCTTTGATAATCGACACTGACCTGCTAAATTTACGCAATATCTATAGCATATTTAAATTCTTACCATGTCATTAGTTTGGTTAATTTGGGCAGTCCTTCTTCTAACTCCAGTACGATATTAAATGTGTTAAGGGATATAGATACTTGGATAAAAACCCTTAGCCGCCAAGTTGAACAGGTTGGGCAATTCATCAACTGGATGGTAGAAATATAGTGTTGAAGAATATCTAGGCGCTGGGTCATAATTGTTAGGTACGATGTTATTGATGACATGATGATATGTACCTCTTAGCATTGAGAGCGTTATATGAAGGATGATAATAGCAAAGCCATAGTTTTTTTTAGATAGCTCACGGAAACTTATGTCTCGGCGGTAGTAATTAAATCCAAATTATAACTTGTTATACGTTAATAAATCATTAAAAAGGTATTCAGATTTGGAGGCTATATTAAGGTAATTGGTATAAATAAGGGGGATTTAGGGGCTGATATCAACCCTATACTGGATGGCTGAGTCAAGCAAAATGACGAAAATCATCGAATAAACAATTTTTTTTTTCATTTTTTATTTGATTCTATTTTGTGGGATTGCCGACAGCAAGGACTTTATTGTTCGCTAACGGCCCCAGGGCAATTGATGACCCTGATGGCGATGTATCTCAATCTCACACATTAAGGCCACCATAGAAGCCACAGTCGGAGACTTTGATTGAGAAGCTCAGCCAATAGGTTGAGGACGGCGCCGATGGATTTGCAGCGGGATTCCTACCTACATATGCTACCCGATTTTACGTCCCCAGCATCAGAGACACTATCTCACGGTAGCAATTTCATTCTTAGGTGTAGGAGGCGGTGTTGTTAACCTTAGCTTCATATATCTGTCTTTAAGTACGAAGCTGTTGGCTTTAGAATCTGGAATTCCGGCGCTCCGCCTGGGCTACTGATTTCTGGCAAAGGCTTAATGGCAATATATGCACAGTGGAGGCTACACTGCTAGATTTTATTGTGGACTGAAGGGAGGCGAATTATAGAAGAAGACGGTTGTCGGTCATCGCCTCGTGGATGACAGATGGAGAACGGAGCTAATGAAGAAGGGCGGTGACCTTCGACTACCGGAGAGCCTGAGGGGAAAAGAATAAACAACTATCTAGTATATTCAGTTAGAATCATAACTTGTTGTAGCGTCCTGTCTTGGTAAGTGAGACTATGGTACTGAGCTTCGAGGGGGCCTATCTTACGGTTTATATATCCCCCCTATAGGTATAGGTATAGTAAGTACGGTACTCTAATTGAGCTGAATAATGGATATTGCTGGATGCAAAAACAACAAGACAGCGGTTATCTCAATGTAGATAATTTTGACGAAAAACATATCCGCCCTAAGCTAGGTGAAAGGGAACCTAATACTCTGGCAATAGCAAAGGGTTGTAACAAATCATGCGGTATCTCGAATTTATGTAATGAGAAGTATACTAGGTACAACGGAACCTTGTGTAAGATCACGAGTAGAGTGCTATTGGGCTGCCAGGATTCAAATTCCGCAACCTCGTAACGCATGAAGATCGTCAACTATGGCATATTATACCGCAGCATGAGCTCGCCTACGACTGCTTCTTCTTACCCCTGTAGAGATATCTATGAATGGTAAGTCTGTGAACTATATTACAAACATTTGAATAGTTGGGGAAAAAAATCACTTACCCTCCAAGGATTCCTTCTATCAGACCAACACCGGTCACGATACCTGCACCAATGCCAACGCTCTTCCAACCTAGGCGTCCGTGCTCATACAAACCCCAAGCCTTGAAGCCCAAGTACGCGCTAAGCCCTACAACAGCAGCCAAATTGGAGACGACGAGGGCCGTACTAGCACCATCGCTTAAATTGGCAAACCACTGGGTGAGAATGCTGTCGGCTCTTCGTGCTTTCCCGCTGCCCTTCTTCTTAGCGAGATGAGCCTCAGCACGCGCGCGCTCGGCAGCATCCTCTAGTTCTTGACGAGTGGCTTGGGTCTCAGTCTGAATTTCCTGTTCCCCGAAGTCGGAGGGTACGGTGCGCACCGAGGGCGTATCGACGTCGACAAGGGACGCGGTGCTTGCGGACTCAGAAGATATAATCTCGGGAGGTTGAGGAGCTGCAGCCTTGAAGAGTAATTATGTTAGGTACCTAGATCATATATGAATCTGCTGGAGGGATTGTTGTCTTACCTCCTCGGGCGTTTGCCTGGGACCAGATGCAGCCGCGGCAGCATACGACACTATAATGGAAAGCTTGTGTTAGCTTATATATATTCATCATTATACACCCTGCTCCGTCTTTTAGGCAAGCGATGTTGAAGCACAGGGCCTTACTTTTGATCTACGTTGTCGAGACTGTTAGTAGTAAAATTCGAGTCAACAATGACCCAATAACTTGGGTTGCGGAGTAAGAAATAATAAGGTAGAAGAGTATTGATAGTAATATATTGAGGTCGAATCGAGTAAATGGTTGACGACGATGGATGGTATGATGTTGTGAAAAGGTGAAGAAGAAACAATGCGACAATGAGAGAATCTTGGAAGGTGGAAGATATTGTATGTACCTAATGTACCTAACCTAATGCATTCCGTGATAATATGAGCAAATGATCGTGACGATTGTGCTTGCCCTGCCTACCCCCGGTCCATGTACATAATCGAATGACGTATTCTCGGCTCCATTCGCCTGCATATATGCACGAAAGCAGGCGGGGACTTGGATGAATTTTAATTGCATATCACTACCACATAACCACATAACACACACCATCATCCCTTAATCGAGGGTCTTGGACGAAACATCCATCATACTATTTCTTGATTTTAGGTAAGTAAAAATAACCATCTACCAAATTGAAGAATCTAATATCTCTATGTAACTTTACCTGGGTACCTTGCTTGTTGATCTCTTAACTATTCCCTTCGTCTATATGCTTATACGACGTCGTCCAAGTTGAAATTGACATAGACGCGCCCTTCCCAGGGTTTTAAAGTCGCTGGTATAGTATCCTTCTTAAGAATCGAGCCCCTATTGTCTTGGTATCGCGTACTCACTAGTAATCTGGCTGTATCCTCATCACTGAAACCCAGTATGTTCCTAATGTCTAGGCAATCCCGTTCATCCTTGGAGAAGTTCATAACCACCACCGCCATTCTCTTACTCTCGCGGCCACGGGTAGAATAACCGTTAGTAGACGCTCCTGAATCTGAGATTCGAAAGGGGCTTTCCTTCACGTATGCGAATATTGCTTCGTCATCATCATTCAATAACCGGAACGCTCCCAGGACGAATATATCCTTATACTTTTTACGCAGCTTCAAGACCATCTTGTAGAAACTCAAAATGGAATTGGGGTCCGATATTTGCTTCTTGACGTTGACCTCTGGATAGGCGTCGTGAACACGCATCCACGTCTTGACACCTTTGTCTGAAAACCCTGCATTCGGAGAGTCGTCCCATTGAAAAGGGATACGCGAATGATCGCGAGCAAGAATACGCAGACCCCGCATGGTATCTGCTATTATCTTCTGGTCCCCAGATGCTAATGCCTCGGCATAGAAGTTGAGACTCTCGACGTCTTTGTACTCGTCTATCCCCCAAGTGGTCGGCATGTTTGTCATACCAATCTCCTGGCCCTGATATAGGAACAGCGTGCCTGTCAATGTGGATTGCCAGAGAGCTATGGTTTTCGCACTCGCCTCCCATAACCCCGGCGTTGAACAATCGCCGAATCGGCTCACGGCTCGTCCGTTATCATGGTTCTCGCAGAAGACGGTCGTCCAGCTGTCTGTGCCTTCGATGAACGTCTGCCACTTTGCTACGATTGTCTTCAGCTGTTTTAGGGTAAAGGGCACATATATGTACTTTGGCCCAAACATACCCCCAGTACCTAATCGAATCATAGAGAACTCGAAGACCATGTCGAGTTCCTGTGCCGCTGCCGACACGTATGGCAAAACTTGACTTGGGTCCGGCGTGTTAGAAAGCTCTCCGACAGAGACGGCCCCATAGGGTGCGAGCGCTTTGGTCCGCATCTCGTGGATGAACTCGTGGATTCTTGGCCCATTACACCACATCTCCGGCGCTGGCTGATATGGTGAGTTTGGATCTGTAATTGGCGCATCCACGTACTCGGTACGCTTGCTATATTTATTGACCGTGTCGATCCTGAACCCGTCAACGCCTCGTTCAAGCCAGAATCGCATGGTGTCCTGGTAGATAGCTTCGCGGCACGCTTCCGATTCCCAGTTTAAGTCCGGCTGATCAGGTGCGTATAGATGGAGATAATACTCCTCAGTGTGCTCGTCCCAAGTCCAAGTAGGACCAGCGAAGTAACCTCGCCAGTTTGTCGGCGGAATCCGCTGCCCCTTGAGATCGTATCGCGCTGGTTTCCAGATATACCAATCGCGCTTCGGGTTCGTCTTCGACGAGCGGGACTCCTTGAACCATTCGTGCTCGATGGAAGTATGATTCACTACCAAGTCGAGAATCAACTTCATGTTTCGAGCGTGGCATGCTTCTATTAGTTCATCCACGTCCTCAATGGTGCCATAAGGTGCATAAATTTTCTGGTAGTCTGACACGTCGTAACCCATGTCGGCCTGGGGGCTCTCAAAAACGGGCGAGAGCCATACCACGTCGACGCCTAGCTCATCGAGATGTTCGATTTTGGAGATAAGTCCCGGGATATCTCCCCAACCGTCACCGTTGGAGTCCTTAAAGCTTGCCGGATACACTTGATAGAAAGTAGCATCTTTCCACCACGGCTCTTTGCCAAACCATCCATTCTTATGATATACACCGTCCATGTTGCTTCTGTATGTGTGCAACTGATCCACGCAGAGAGAAAAGAAACACGCGAGATCTCGAGAGGGGAGGAGAAATTAAGTAAACTCGACTGTCCATTAGAGAAGATAGTACCCGTACATCTGCGGCTGACTACGGCATAGGGCGGCACTGTATGTAATTGAATATACTTAGATCGAGTCCGCGCCGTCGGGTCAAGTTTGACCAAGTGGTGTTTACATCCAAGTTAGCCGCAATGCACCGCGGTTGTCCTAATTAGGGATATATCTTCTCAGCGGTGGGATACCATTCGCCAAGACGATCTAATGTCAGCTGTTGCGAAACTCCGCCCAACTCCGACTTCTCATCTTCTTCTCCTGCGGTGATTAACCCAATCAGGACGCAAGGACTCCGCTTGAACTTCAATCCACTTTACCTCTCCCCTGCGGTTTAATACTACACTCCGGTCTTAAAAGACTAATGATATAGCGATGGAATGATATCTCGAGACTGTCCCGAGTTCCCCGGCTTCACCCCGCACGAGCTGACCGCGGTTCCATTCTCCACACGGAGCTAGACCATTGCGAAATTAGATAGACCCCGATTCATCCAGTAGAGAGCTATAAGGCTGGCTCCCCTTTAGCAGAGGGAATAAATAGACACGATGGCGTCCTTGCTTACAGAACTCAACCGAGCAAGTCTCAAACCCCTTACCCCCAGATCGGTCAATTAAGAAAGGAAGTTATCTTGGTCAAAGCAGTAAAGAAATTATTTCTTTACTTATCAATAGAAAAGATGGCAACCGAAAAAGAAGATGTGTATACAACAGGGACGGACAACAAGCAAGCCGAGGGCAAGGACTTGCTGGATGACAAAACACATGTCTCGGAGGCTAAGCACGCCGCGGATGTTGAGCAGAAAATGACACTTCTCGAGGCCGTCAAGCTCTACCCGAAGGCCATCGCTTGGTCTGTTTTGCTTTCGTCCACGCTCATCATGGAAGGCTACGACTTGGCGCTACTAAGTAGCCTCTATGCCTCGCCGGCATTTAACGAGAAATTTGGTACTTACAGCGCGGACAAGGACAAATGGGTCTTGTCGGCTGCATGGCAGTCAGGATTATCCAACGGCGCACGCGCCGGCGAGATCCTCGGCCTCATCCTTGCTGGTTGGATATCGGACCGCTATGGGTATAAAATCACGACAATCGGGTTTCTAGTATTGATGATCATGTTCATATTCGTACTGTTCTTCGCCCCTAATGTACAGGTGCTTGTTATAGGTGAAGTACTATGCGGTGAGGAGTTAATCGACCCGGCTTTTACGCTCTTCCAACGCTGACAATAACTAGGTATTCCCTGGGGTGCCTTTCAGTCCGTTGCTCCAGCATACGCGTCCGAAGTTGCCCCCGTCGTCCTTAGGCCATATCTGACAACATTTATTAACATGTGCTGGGTCATTGGCCAATTCTTCGCGGCCGCCGTGAACAAAGGGTCCGTTGGTCGCCTTGACGAATGGGCATACAGAATTCCATTTGGAGTCCAATGGGTCTGGCCTGTGCCTATTCTTGCCGGCTTGGTATTCGCCCCCGAGTGAGTTATCAAGCGAAAACCCACTATGATGTTACGTATGTTTAACCTAGCAACCAGATCTCCGTGGTGGTATATTCGAAACGGTAATCGGGAGGCGGCTAAGGCGTCTTTGCTAAGATTAACATCGCTAAACGACCCGAGCTTCAACGTAGACGAGACCATCGCTATGATTGAACACACTAACGAGCTTGAGAAGCAGATGAAGCAAGGCCTCACCTATCGAGATTGCTTTAGAGGAATTGACCTGCGACGGACCGAAATTGTCGTCGGCATCTGGCTCGTACAGACACTCGGTGGTCAGAACCTTATGGGTTATTTCCCCTACTTCCTGTAAGGTTCCAATCCTCATCACAACCTATTTCGGTCGAGATAGTTCGGAATTGAAGTTGACATGTTGCAGAACCCAGGCAGGACTGGACCCTTCCAACTCGTTCTCTCTTTCTATGGGGCAATACGCACTGGGTATGGTTGGCACAGCCGGCTCCTGGTTCCTCAGTATGTAGTATCTACAGTTACTTCCTTGCTGTCCGGCGTAGTAAATTTTGACATTGCTGACTCTTGTTGCCTAAGTGTCTCGAATGGGTCGGCGTACCATCCACTTTAGCGGACTCTGCTGTCAGCTTCTTATTCTGGTCATCGTCGGTTCTCTCTCGTTCCCTGGGACGAATAGCTCCGTGTGGGCGATTGGTGGGATGTTGATCGTATTCACCTTCGTTTACGACTTTACGGTCGGGCCCGTCACATATTCTTTGATCTCGGAGTTATCCTCGACACGGCTGAAGGCTAAAACGATCGTCCTCGCCCGAGTTGCTTACAACGCAAGCAATATCTTCGTGAATGTCATGACCAACTATCAACTCTCATCCACAGCCTGGAATTGGGGCGCAAGAACCGCTTTTTTTTGGGCAGGGACTTGTTTGATATCCGCCGTTTGGGTGTTTTTTCGATTGCCCGAACCCAAAGGTATGATATGATATTTATTTATACCAGACTGGATTAAGGCTGACACGCTGCTGCATTTTAGGACGAACATACGCCGAATTGGATCTACTCTTTGAGCAGAAAGTTTCTGCACGCAACTTTTCCAAGACTAAGATAGACCCGTTCTCGCAGCAGATTGACGATGCTATCAAGAGGGTATCAACAGACGGGAAGCTAGGGAAGGAGATAGACCAAGCATAACTGCGGATGCTGAGTTGGGATAAACACCCAGTATACCGTAGTTAATACGTTAAGAGAAAGTGCGTAGCGACTAAGACTGCAGCCCTCCAAGATTCGGATTTCCTGCTCCATCTCATCTGGCGACTCGTGCGATACAAGCTCAGTCGGGGTAGCTATATTTCTATCACGGCTGCCATTGTGGGCAACGTCTGTTGAATATGTTTTAAAAGCAAAGCGTCGTAGACTGTTGCGCCACCAGGAAGTTGCAGGATTAGCCGTCTTAGATACTTCAAGTCGTCTTCTGCCGCTGTCCTAGTCATCTGTATGGGTACACGCGCGAGGACGTTCACCACAGCGCAGGATATATCGAATAGCTTCTCCGTTATACCTACTCCGTGCACCTGGATGCTGTGCACAGGTAAATCACGGGTCGAAAGTGCTAGATCCTTTGCTATGTCTAGTGGATAGTGATAAGTGCGACTATTCCGCATATTCTGCTCCGAGAGATGACCCAGCCGTAGCCGCAACTGCCAGAGCACAATGCGGAGCCAGAGTTGCGTAACCCTGAGATTAGCCTTTTGCGTTGGGAGAAGGTCAGATGGACACGCATGGTTCAACGCCGCGTTGATGGCGGACTCGGCTTCGTCAAACGAATTGACAGGAACTACACCCGGAGCTGACTCTTGGTTGAGCAGAGTTATGAAATTGGCGTCCAGGGAACGAAAGAGAGCAGCCAGACACCGGAAACCGGCTAGCGAGGGCTCACGGTCCCTAGAGAATGATAACCCAAAGCCATTAGTTGTTACTTGAAGCGTAGAAGGACGCCGATAACGGATCGCATGAGACCTCTCGGAAATAAGCAGGACCCAGAAAAGCCTCTCGGCTAGCAGCTTCGAAAGATCATCCAGGGTCTCTGGCTTGATTAGGATGAAGAGCGTAGCGGCTTCGCGAAGGAAGAAGAAAGCCTGAGAATGGTGGAATAAACTTGCGTGGCACGCGTATATAAAGAACACGAGAAGAACCGAGTCTAGAGATGGGTTCGATCTCCGTGTAAGATGACGGTGGGCTGCTAGAGCCTCCTCGAGCAGCGTCCAGCCGTATGCGGCATTGTTCTCAGCCGTAATAGACTGCCCAAAAGATTTACCCCCGGGATCCTCGACCTGCAACGTCACCATAGCGCACAATCCAAGTAGAACGCAGTAAGCCTCACTATCCGAGGCGAGTCGCGTTCTAAGATTGGTGACGTACTCGGGCGTCACGATAGGGATCGTCGGGGCGAGGCGTTCGAAGAAGCGCCTGGAACAGTACTCAACTACTCGAGGCGGCAGCAGGTCTACCTTTCTCTCAAACGACTGCCTTGCAAAACTAGTAAACGCTTGCTGGCTCGTAGGTAGATCAAAGTTGACGAATGACGAAGACGTAGCAACATCCAACGACTTTACGCCTCCTTCTACCGGTATCTCAGCGAGCCTTGGCGTTTTAGTAGGCCGGGCCCGGGTTAGAATTCGGGATTGGGCGGGAAATCCGCTGCATTCATCAGCAAGCCCAGCCTTGGTACACCGCCGACACGGGCGAGAGTCGCTGCAGGCTTTCTGCAGTCTTCTGCATCTCTGGCAGGCTCGAGCGACCTGTGCCCGCTTGGCTCGTGGCGGAGCTATGGCAGCTATATGATCCTCTGCAGCGATACCAATACGAATTTGACGCGCATCGTTCGCCGAAGAGCTAGCTTGACGGATTTTATCTCCTTCGCGTCGTGCTGTCATGTCCCACGCGAAGGGTGGCTGTAAGAAGTAGTAACCTGTATTTGGGTTAATCCAGCAGGCTTGAACAGGGACTCCTAGGTATTTCGTATTTCGTAAGAATAGGGGTTTACAATCGGGCCGCGTTTGTCTTGAAATTGGGGGATGGGAGACGAGAGATGGGATCTGAAGTTGGAGTCAGGAGCTGGAGTTGGAGTTGGAGGTGAGTAGGGGAACTTATACCAACCCGATTTATACATATAACATATATTAGTAGTAATCCATTAACCATTAACTGAACGTCTTATAGACTGTGTGGGGATTACCCCAGGTGTCAGCGCGGCCATCGCAGTCCGTCCATACCTCTTTGATCTTCGAATCGAAAATAAAAAGACCGAGAACACAACAACATCAAGGGTTCCCTGTCGCAAGCCCCGGCCTCCAAAATACTTGGACCACTTACATGTGCAATTCTCGATAAATGAATCCACAACCCCAGAATAAGGCTAAGAGTTAGATATCTCCAAACGAAACAAATAAGAAAAAAAAAAAAAAAAAGGAAAAGAAAAAAACTTGTGTTGAAAGAGTTGCTTGGTTCATTTCGCCGTATCTCATGTGCCCTATAATATGCACAGTATTATGTTGTACAAAATGCACGGCTCCAGGTATCTATTTTACGAGACCATACTCGCCATACTCGCCATACTCGAGTACGTCAAATGCCCAAAGCACTCGACATCTATTACGGTTGCGCCGGGGGGACATTCTGCTTCTGAGTCTCCTTTACCACCTCTGCAGCCTCCGTATCTGCCTTAGCTGACCTTTGGGCCGGCGTCGTTTCTTCTACTTTCGCTACCGCACCATTTTCACCAGGTGATGTCTTAGCGGCGGATTTCTCCGTTGCAATCTCAGGAGTGCCCTCTGCGGGAGCCTCGTCTTCATCTAGTTCCTCTCCGTATACCTCGGGATGAAGGCGGAAGCAGTCTTGCATGTGTCTGTTCCATCTGTCAGCTTGATACAGTCCACCAACTTATATATACCAAAATAGGCCGTACTGGAATTTATCAATGCAGTCCATCCCTTTCGGCTCTTCCTTGGAGTAGACGAAACAGCTAAACGCCGCCTTGAACTCTTCGCCGCAAGGCCCATGAGCCATTCCTCCTAAACAAGGGCAGTCCCAATTAATCTCGCCCGTCTCCGGGTTGAACGCTCCCTGTTGACCGGCCTCTTCTTCTAAAGCTTCGGGGCTTCCTTCCGGGTATGTAGTTTGATCTTGCGTCTCGACATCTTTAGCAGGTGCGGAAGGAGATGTTTCGGATGGTAGGGTAGCTGTTGGTGGCTCGGGAGATGATGCGGCTTTCTGCAGTCGTGCTTCGGCTTCTCGACGCTTCTGTGCGACTACGGCCTCTACTGTGGGGAGGTCCTCATCTGAGAACTGGGGCGGCGGCGATAATGTTTTAGCTAATCGCCCGCATGAGATGTTAATAAAGACAGAGAAACGTTGAATTGCGCCAGGGAAATTGGACTCGCATACGCAGTGGTTCTTCAGCAAAGACTGCGCTGGTGCTATACCAATACACAATACCAGCAGCTAAACCCCATCTTACAGCCGAGCTCTTCCAACTTCGTTTCTTATCTGTGGGGGAAGTTGAAGCAAAGCGTCGTGCATTGGGCGAGATGATAGTTGGTCGCAGTTTATTTGCGACTCGAGGAGTGGATCGCAAGGCGGATCTATACATGTTACCGGCGAGCTATGCGTAAAGGGAACGGCTAAAAGAGTGAGAGTAATATTAAAGAGTGTATGAGCTCCTGAGTGGGTTTGATGAGTGAGAAGAAATATGCGCAGAGAGAAGACTGGTTTGTAGACTGGTTTGTAAGCATCAAGCGTCAAGCATCCGAGATATTAAGAATTAGTACCCGCTGCCAAATTTTTTGAACTGAATCCAGATAAGGATCGGTCTACTGGTACAATGACCGACTTACATATGCGCGCCAAAATTCGGGGTGGGGTTACACCTAACGGGCACTTAACTGCAGGTGCCTTTTGAGGTAAATCTACGGATGTCCCTTTCAAAAGTTTTTTCCATAGGGAACCCCTGTCAAGATTGCCAGCAGCTGTCCAGTGCTCGGCCACCACCTGTCTGCACATGTCAAGATGTATACATCATTATCACTAATTTAGTACTATTTCTTACAATTAAAGACAACATTTCTCTGGCTTAGAAAATAATATATTTAAAATTAAGTCTTTTATATTTTAAAAGTCTTTTTTTAAAAATTTTACGATTTAATTAAAAGAAGAAATATTGGTTTAAAAGGTTAGAGTAAAATAAGATACCTTTGCCGAATGGGTGAACAGCCGCCATTAAGCATGGCCAAAGCTTGTCGGGAGTGACAGGGGTCTCCCTATGGAACGAACTTTTGAAAGGGACATCCGTAGATTATGTACAATACCTAGGTACATGTACATAATTTTTAGCCTCATGGAAGTGACGTTATTTGGTACATGTAATACCTACATGAAAGTATCTAAGTACCTAGGTACCTCTCACATGTGAGTGAGAGTCAAAGTACCCAAAAAATTGAATTGGATACTCGAGCTTCATGTTCGACCTCATCTTTAAGACTAGGTTGTCACCTGTGTAAGCATTCGGCCAGGTTCTTACCAGCAAGATAGTCTTTCAGTGACCTCTTGTAATCTACCAGCATGGGCTCAACACAGGAAAGCCCTGATATATGCACCGAGTGGTATCCTATCAGACAGTTCCTATCTTACCCGGGATATGACTTCGCTCTGATCATTCTAAATCAGCCCATCATCGACGAGGGCTTGTTTAGAGACCTCTGGAGAATAGGTATACCGCCCTTTTAAGATCATATTTACGTGTAATCATACCGACTTGTATCGTAGCTCAAACACGCGTCGCTGCCGATGGGGGTGCCAACCAGATATACGATCTCAACCGAAGATCCTTATTAACAGAGAAAGATTCCCCATCTTCTGCCAGTGGTAACTATGTAAGTGCAAGGATATGAGAGATAGATAATCTAAGGCTCTCAGCCGTGATTCTCTTTTACGTAGGACGCTACATTGTCTATCTCGCTAACAATCGTATAGGTAAATCTGAATACCATAATTGGCGACCTAGATTCTTTATCCGACGAGTCAAGACGTTTTTTTACTACTAAGCCCGCGGAATGTACTATCATTCGGGACCCCGATCAGTATTCTACCGACTTCGCCAAAGCCGTCAAGTTCGTTCGCATGGCGTTTCCACAGAGAGATATCGTATGTATGGGCGGACTAGGAGGACGCGTTGATCAAGGGTTGAGCCAACTACACCATCTATACTTATTCCAAACCTCGCCGACCTACGCGGATGGGAAGATGTTTTTCCTTTCCGGCGAGAGCTTATCTTTTCTTCTCAAAGCTGGAAAGCATCGTATACACGTCCGTGAGCCTGATGCCATCGTTGGCGATTTCGTTCGCATGAATGGCGAGCCGTTCGCCAAGTACGTCGGCATCATCCCGGTTAAAGAGCCGAGCGTAATCACGACCAAGGGCCTCGAGTGGGATGTCGAGAACTGGCCAACCGAGTTTGGTGGCCAGATGAGTACAAGCAATCATCTTTTACCCGAGACAAAAGTTGTCGAAGTCGAGACTACGAAGGATGTACTTTTCACCGTCGCATTAAAATCGGCAGAGAGTGGAAATTTATCAACAGGCCCGCATTGCGTACTCGTAGGCCGTTCACGATTGAACGAAGTCTCGGATAGCAGTAAGGCAGGATAGATTATCGCCATATTCACGGCATCTCTTCCAGTCTCGGGATGTACCTCTTTTTATTAGAAGTTCTGCCTCTTTCGTTAGAACAAGAGACAGAGACAAGTAGAAGACAGGTTTGCCTAGCCACCGAAGGCATAGAACCTACCTATATAGGTAGTTTAGAATAACGCCAAAACTCCATGCGAAACGTCAAAACTAATGCGTAAACTCACGATTCAAGCCTCCGCAACGTTCTCCATTTTCTAAATTTAGTCTTCCCCAACGTGTACTTGTCCATCCTATCGGAGGAAATGCAAACACAGCCAACAAAACCCAAAGAAGGTTATCACACCGGCGCCGAAGATCCATTTATCTTGTTTCGCTCTTCTCTCGATCATGCGTATCGTGTCCCCGCTAACGCCGAGCGTGTTGGCAACGCTGTATAATCTCTTCTGCGTGTTCTTCAGCATCTCACGCTGCGTACCCAGGTCCCCGAGCACGGCTTGACCCCGCGCGATATACTCATCAAGCGCCGTATTCGTACTCGCAAAAAAGTTCTGTTCTCGCAAAGCGTGCGTCTCCCGCGTATAGTCGTTGCTCCCCATGCTTAATTGGCTGCCGCTACCGTAACGGTTCGTAGGGACCGAAGGGGAAGATGAGGACTGCGGTGGTGTTGGCGCATTTGCGTACGGGTTTTCGGGGGTGGAAGTGGTAAAGGGTCGTCGACCAAGTAGCTCAGTTCGGTTCTGGGCATGCAGCGTGTCTTCTCGCTGCGTCTTCAGTTCCTCCAGTTGCGTCCGAAACGACGAGAGCTCCGCTCGAAAATTCCTAATCCGCTCGTAGGCCTTCTCCTGCTTTGCCGGATTTAGTTCCTGCTTTGCCAGCGCATTGTACTCGTCGAGAGTTCGCGAAAAAGCCGTCAGCGACGCGGAGAGGGAGCCAAGCGCCGCGGGTGTGGGAGGTGCGCCATCGGATGATGATTGTAGACCAGCAAGGTCTCGCTTTATAGAGGTGGACTGCTTGAGCGCAGAGTTGAATTGCGTATTCTGGAAGACGTTAACAAGAGGTATACTCTAGAATAATAGGTACCTAGGTAGGTAGGTAGGTAGGTAGGTAGTTTAAAAGGAGCAATACCATTTTGATATAAGATACCAACAGCTTATGCGCATGCGTTATGTACGTTTATTCTTCTTCAGAAGTCAGGTAGGAATCAATGTAATGAAGATAGTGGTCGGGTACCTAAGTTAGGTATTGTACATGTAGATAGCGATAAAAATAATGAGATCAAATAACACGTAGCTGGAGACGAGCATTTCTCCAATTGCAACTTTATCTTAAACTTGCATGAAGAGTACCTGCGTAATGTACCCACATTAGTAGATGCATACATATGCACAGACCGATATTAAATCACCATGGTTCGTCATAGAAGGTACCTAGGTACATTACAGCTTTATTCTTGAATATTCTTTATGATAAAGTTGACCTGGAAGAACATCTCTCAGAATACCTTATACCAATCCATTCCTGTTAAAAGGTATTTTTAAGTATTTACCTAATTGTTATACGGATAACTTTGCTATTAGGGGTACTCGGTATTTATTAAATATTCAACTGACCTATTCATCTTACACAATTATATTAACCCTGTTGGCCTCGGACATAAACGTTTGCCAATCTCCTTCTTAAGCATGCTCTTCTAATCCGTATCTGGGGTTAGCAAACTGACGCCAAAACGCAGCTATAGCTGAAGATGTTCTAGACTCGTCTGTTTGGTGTCCTCTAGCGGAACAACCTAGAGGTACTTACAATAACATGTTACCTTTTACGCCCTCAAATATACATTCAAAAGTCGTAAAGAAGAAAAAATACAGCATGATAGTACAGTTATACGGCGTATGCTGTAGGTATAAGAAAGGCGAAGTTGGATATAAATATAAATCCGCTGGAAACCAAAACCGGTAAATATAAACCCAATAGGCGTCAACGACTACATTTACATGCGTAACTACCTACTTCAATGTAATATAATATCAAGACATTCTTGGCTGTATGAATGAGGTATAGCTGATTATTTTTACGTATTATTGGCTAGCCCCCCTTAATATGAAAGCGACGTCTAAATACGGAATACCGAATACAGAACAATCCTTCAAAATCCCACCTTATCCCTCCGTCCTCCCCCATTCCGTTCGCTATTGCGTACTTTCATAATAGGCGAGCATCTTTGCCGCCGTCCGATCATTTCAATTGCTTTAAGCTCTAGTCCCTCTTTATAAAGCTTATGGTAATATAATGTCTACTTCCCGGTAATGGTTAATTTCGACGATAGACCATTCTAATGGCGCCGTCCGACCATCTAGCCACTGCCGATCTGGGTCGCCCGAAGCTACCCTCGGCTGCCCCAGAAGGATACAAGGTCACCGCAGAATCAGAAAAGGCATCGCGAGCGGCGGGGGCGGCGAATATAACCACAGGAGCAGGGAAGCGGGAAGCGGATAAATCACCACCATTGGAAGTTCGCGGCTTTGATTTCTTCGCTAATCGCGATTTTAACGAGCTGAAGAATGCGTCGCGGGCCTATTTTGCGCCTTCTGCCAACCCTGAAAGGCATCAACGCCTGCCATCTACGTGGTTGGGCGATGCGACACCCCCTAGCAGCCCGCGACCCTCCGACGAAGGGCCCTCCGCTGGAGGGGACAGATTTCCCATCCCGCTCCGTGGACAGACGCCTTCGGAAGAGAAGAGAATAATAGGGTTGAAAAGAAAGCAATTCTGGTGGCTGGCGGCATTAATATCACTCCTATTAGTTGTTGCAATTGGAGTTGGAGTTGGTGTCGGGGTCGGTAGAGGGGTGTCGCAAAGTTCTAACGAGGCCGCTGTTGCTGGTGCCGGTGTCAGTGCCTCTTCATCGTCAAGGTTCGTAATGCCTTAGTTCGCCTCTGTATAGGAGTAGCTTAAGTATATTCATGCTCATATTGTTAATACTTAGTAGCCTGTCCTCTACCTCAACCGCATCAGCAAGCACCGGCACCCCGACGACGTTTACCTCTGGCCCCTCAAAGACCAGTACTTCATCGAGTTCCAACCCCACCGGTAATACCGAGGGAAAGATTGACTGCCCGGCTGCTAACGGGACTACCTACCAAGTTCCCGGTTCCGATAAGCGATTCTTACGGATTTGTGGTATAGATTATAGCGACGACGAATCAACTAATCTACGCCAAGTTCCTACGGAGACCATATTAGATTGTATGAAAAACTGTGCCGGGACTGCTGGGTGCACCGGTTGCGGTTGGGGCTATATCGAGGGCGATACGGGGACCCAACACACCTGTTGGCTAAAGGGTGATTTGAAGAAGCCTCACGATGTCGATATCAACTGGGCATTTGCCAAGCTTCTATGAGAGGATTAGGGACACGGATATGGGAGTTATGGATGCTGCTAAATGGCATGTATTGATACTAGTAATGACGTTCTATGTAGTAGAATAGTAAGGTATGATACCCCCTAACAACAATAATTCCTACGGTAAAGTAACACCTTGACGGGCGACAAGCGTGCTTATATCCTCTCATTACCTAAGTTATACTCCTCGCTATTATATTACATAAAGCTGGTAAGAAGATTCCAGCACAGGTTTAGCTGTTAAGCCGCACAGGACATGGCAAAGTGACATGGTGCATATAGTAAATTTTGATTACATGTACATGGATCGATTGTGGATAGGAATAAAATCTAATTCCAACACTTCCCACCCTGCTGTGAGCTCGTCTAAAAACAAAGGCGTCCGCCCGGTGCGGGTATCATTGCTCGTTAACGAATAGGCCAGCCATGCCCATTCCTGTTCCGATACACATGCTCGTCAACAAAATCTTCTTTTTAGTTCGTCTAAGTTCGCTTAGGCCAGTGACGATCTGCCGGGCACCTGTCGTGCCGAGGGGGTGACCAAGCGCGATGGCACCTCCTCGGGGATTCATCTTGGCCCAGTCCAATTTAAGATATTCCCTACAGTAGACGGCCATGGTTCCAAACGCCTCGTTAATCTCTACAACGTCAACATCATCTAAAGTAATGCCGTGCTGCTTAAGTAGCTTTGGGATCGCTACTGTTGGGCCGATACCCATGATCCTGGGAGCCAGACCGGCAACAGTTGACCCCACGTATTTGGCCATGATCGGCAAACCGAGCTCGGTGGCCTTGGAACGTTTCATGAGCACTACCGCTGCGGCGCCGTCGGTGACCTGGCTGGCATTGCCTCCCGTGGTGATAGGACCCCATTGAGGAAACGCATTACGAATTTTTCCCAACCCGGCAGCCGTCGTCCCCGGTCGAATACCCTCGTCTTTTGTTAACGTAACCGTCTTCAGCTCGCCGTCGGGCCCCTTTACTTTGGTAGTAATAGGCACGATCTCGTCGTCGAAAAAGCCAGCCTTTTGAGCTAGCTCGGCCCGCCTGAAGCTCTCGGCCGCATACTCATCGACAACCTCGCGGGACAGCCCAAAATCCTTGGCCACGTTTTCACTTGTCCAGCCCATGGCCATCATACAGTCGGCGGCTTCTTGGCTATGCTTAGTCACTTCTTCGTCGAAAGGTCGTTCAAGACTATCGCCTCCCGCAGTCATGGATTCGGTACCAGCAGCGATACCGATCTCGATCGAGCCTGCAGCGATCTGGTGGGCAATATCGGCTGTGGCCTTTAGACCCGAGGAGCAAAACCGATTTACGGACGAGGCGCTCGTAGTATTGGGGAATCCGGCAGCGAGGGCCGCGGCACGGGCCTTGTAGGCTGCTTTGCCATCCGATACCTGCACGGGAAGAAACGAGTTAGAGCGGTTGTGTTTTGGCTCTGCGCCGCAAGTAGTAGATGTCAGTACGTACATTACCCATGCATATATCCTCCACCAGGTCCGGTGAGAAACCTAGACGTTCCCGGGCGGCCTTTAAGATGGCATACATAAGGTACTCAACGGACGTATCCTTGAAGCCGCCCTTCTTTCCCTTACAAAGCGGTGTCCGGATCGCGAGCGTGATAACTACATCGTCGGGGTTTTTTGAGGTGCTAGATTGGCGAACAAGGTTAGTTAGAATGACTCTGTATCTACCCATCAGGCTAATCCAATACTCGTCGTCCACTTACATGGTAGCTAAGGGTGAACTAGGAGATAGGTGCTTCAAAATGGAATTGACCCGTTCGGTAGCCATCTTGAAAGATGGTCTTGACAGATGGAGGTATATACTAGTTGGTATATACAATCTGATATCTGATAATTGAAGCGACTGAGGGGACGATGGCGAGAAGGGAAGAGGAATATCACTAACTTAAATCGACGGCGAGTGGCATTGTCCGGAGTTGATAAAGAACTAATAAATAGATAATGGATAGGTTAGTTACAGGGGGTTACAAGGAATACAGGGGACATGTCTGTTGCATTTTGCCGAGGCCTGATTCGGTCACTTCGGCCATCGGCAGATATGTTGGTGGGGTCTCCTTATTCCGTTCCTGATACCTGGGGCCGTCATTATGGTGCCGCGGGGAAAGCTAGGTAATCTTATCCGCAACGCTTACTTTTAGCCATGTATAGTACACGAGGCTTTACCCCCTACTTCTAGAAGTCCGGGGTAAAGACCACATTCAGGTCGTTTTATCATTTCGAGGTAATCGTAAACGTCTGATCTCTGGCCTATGTATTTGTGATAACTAATAGTTTGGAAAGAACAGGTAACCAGGAGAAATAAATTCGTAACGGGAGTACCCGAAGACATATCAGTCCCAAGCCTTACTTAAAATGCCTTAGAAGTTACCTAGCAACATAAAGAAAATACGGGGTCACCTACTTCCATCTGCCAAAGAATAGCATCTTGGCAGGTTCTCTCGTCTCCAGAGCTTAATATTTTATATTTTCTTAGCCGTGAACAGCTCGGCAAGCAAACATGGCTGTTGTATTCCGGATTTGATATATTGTTCTCTGGGTCATTCCCTTGAAGGTATTATAAATTAAAATCTAAGTCTTATAACATTGATGAGCCCCGACAAAAAATAGAAGCCTAGCTCACAGGCTTATAACTTTCTTAATTACAAAATTGTGGCCAATTAATCCTCGAGTCGAGAGGCATTTCCTGATATGAAATTGCATCATCTAAAGCACACATATGAGGTACCTAAGAAAATAAGAAACCTCCCCTGTACCTATACTCTCCTCAATTTCTAGAACGTCCTGAAGCCTACCAAAAGAAAGTTCCGGTGTTACAGCATAAATGAAATACCGCCAGCTAATATAAGAGCCGCAGCACTTGCTACGGTTGCACGCGTTCTCCCTGCTCCCGACTGGGGGTCGATGTGCGTGCCACTCATACCCAGATACCACGAGCCGATATCTGTTAGCTGCCCGTCGTTGTTTAACATGGCGGCATTAGGACCGACGTTGCTATCACTTGACCGGAAAGAGCCAAACAAACTGTAACGACCGACGGAATCCATACGGTCGAAATACTCGGAGGATGTGTTGTAGAACGTTTGGGTCGTGGCGAGGTCTTGATTGTCGAAATTATATTCGGTAATCCATTGAGTTATGTTTGGAAACGCAGCAGCATACGAACCCATATGACTTGCCAGCCCTTCAAAGTTCCCATACCAATGTATCGTCACGAAATCGTATGTACAGTTCTTTTTATGATTTTCGGTGCTAATCAGTTCAGAGCAATTACCGAGGAACTGTTCGAGCCACGGTATCCCTCCCCAGCCTCCAGTGCAGGCCGGCAACCCCAGTTTCACCCCCTTATCAGCGAGAGGCTCTATATTCTTTATCCATACGTCCGCAGCCTTTGAGGGCTCGATATTACTACCACCACTATATTGGGCATCAGGTTCGTTAAAACTGAGGACGTGCGTGATGTTACGGCCGGAGTCAATCTGGCTCTGGACAGACTCGAGAAAGGAGGTGTCGTCGATAGCACCCCAAAGCATGGGGACGAATTCGAACCGGTCTTGGGGTATATCATCAAAGGCGGATGATGGCTCTGACTTGTAATTGTAGTACCAAGTCAAATCAGACCCCGACTGTACCCATACTTTATCATCCGCCGAGTTGTCAAGCTCTGTAATAAATACCAACCCACGCTTGGATGACCGAGTCTGAGCGAGAGCAAGGGAAGTAAACGCAATGAGCAGAACATAGGACTGATGCATAGCTGGCTGAGAAAGGTTAAATGAAAGGATGACTGGACGGTTGCAATTCTGACGCACACTTGATCGTAGCTTGAAACTTGGTTGCGCTCTCGCTAATGGAACTGTCAAATTTTAGATATCTAGAAACCACTTATGATAGTTTACCAATGATAGCATGTCAAGGTCTAATTAAGGAAAGTTCACAGACCGAGAACTTGAACGTAGTTAAGTAGGAAATACTTTCGCCGACGTTCTAGCTTTTCTTTTGCTTGGATCATTTTCCAACTTATCCCCCGTATTAGGGCCAGACGTCAGAAGCCTGCTCGATATATCGTATATCCGATAGCATTCAGCTGAAGAAATGTAGGATGGTTGCAACCAAGGCAGAATGGCTAGGCTTGGCTCCTGTGACATACGACGATTCAGCAGCGCCACCCAATAGCCGCAATCATATGCTTACACGAATAGACCAGCCTAGAATTTATTACTTCAATATAAGAAAATAAAGCATCATGAGAGGCTCGCTTAGCTCAATCTGACTCTCACCCGGGACAACCATTGAGGTAGGTGCTGAGCACTAAGGTAACGGTGGCTAGCTTTATAGTAATTTCAAACAATAATCAATGCAGCGTAACAGTGCGTCGACCGCATAAATGAGCTGCCACCTTGATATTCGGTTGATCTCGGCACTCTGATTTCGATGAGAAATGTATGACATAGTGAATACTGAATATCAATGTCTAGCAACTTGAATTGACCTTCACTTGGACGAGGTTTAGGAACAGTCATATGTATACGGCGAGCGGGAAATAGAATCATGCTGTCATCGAGATAAGCTTTTGATGACGTGCATAGACCCAGGTTATGGGTAGAAACATCAAGGTTGTGAGGTTTAAAATAATGGGAACATTTCGAGGGGGAAAAAAGGGGGGGGGGGAGGGGAAGGAAGCCGATTCATACATTAGCGCGCCAGCGTGGGAGGCCGACATGATCTCAGGGATAGTCCTAACGATTCGAAATGATTTCAATTAGGAGACCAGCTTTTGACGATGAAAAAGAGCCAATGATGTTGTTGACGAGACCCTCATGCGATTTCGTGATCCTTTCGAATTGGAGACAATTATGTAAAAATACATCATATTCAAAAAGACAAAGTCACGAAGTTCCGAGATTGTATGTAAAATATAAGGGTTTTAAGAAATAAGATACTTACCTTTTTGGAATAGTCACGTACCTCCGACATGGTCCCGGAGATCATTTCAAAATCCAGAGATCATGTCAACTTAAATATAAGCATATAAGGTATAAAATTATATGATACTATTAGGTATATGTATACCTAATAAATGAAAAAAGAAAGCAGCCTAAGCGCATATATTCACCTGCACATGATACAATATTATTAATACGAATAGTTGAAAATAAACATCACAGGTGAGGCTCGAATTACAGGCTTACAAGTACGATTATTACGATTACAATTACAAGTCTACGTGGTTTACGATTGAGCTAAGTATTGATTGAGCTAAGTCTTACGTTGCTACGATTTTACGGGAAACAATAGCTGGCTTGTTGTTGCAGTATATAAGGCTGCAATAAGGGGAGGCAGGTGCAATTCAAGGTAGGTATAATAAGTCATACTTACGAATAGGTCGTACTTACCTGGGCCAGAGATCATTTCGAAAGGCTGAGATCATTTCGAAGGCTGAGATCGTTTTGAAAGGCTGAGATCGTTGAAGGCTAAGATTATCTTAGAAAGCTAAAATTATACAAATTCAACATGATCCCTGAGACTATTTCAAATATGAGGCTATTTTCATTAAACATCGTCACGGAGACTCGAAATGATTCGATATGCAATATTATCCCGGTGATCATGTCGGGATACTGTAATAATATTCAAAATTTTAAAATAATCTTATAAGGTGACATAATCCCTGAGATCATGTCCCCCCGCCACCCTGGCGCGGTAATGTACAAAGACTACAATTGAATTGATAAGCATGTGAGAAAAACAAGTATACAGCTTCACGCAGTCGGATAGCATGTGTAAAACATTTAAAAATAGGTCTTTACCTTACGGTCTGACAGGGTCATGAATAGTCTCATGGATATGTACCTTAAGGCATCCGCATGTCTTAGACAACTACGTACGTTTTTTGACGTCTCATATCAATCGGCCAACAAGGAGACAAGAAGATAAGACCAGAAAACCCATGGTAGTACCGAAGCACCCAGATCAAGCTTATTCCCGGTATCCGATCACTATATTTGGCTAGGGTACCCCTTTTATTTAGATATGGTGACAGGGCTAGCAGGGGTTGGGTTGCCGTCGGAACCGCAAACTCTTTAGACGCGGCGGACGCAATGATACCATTCCCATCCCGGACGTATCAGCGCTGCTATTTTTCATTTCTTCATACCTACCTAGTATTTCCTCTTTTTCTAGTAATGCGGTGAGACGGTGACACAAGGCGATGCACGAATAAAGCCTATTCTATTAAAATGAGCGACTCCCTTTCGCCGCCTCCCGAAGTGATGATTTTCTAACAGTTGTTCCGCCTCTTGACGGTACGCATTTCCTCCCCGCCTTGACGGTGTACTACTACGCTGCTCTTGTAGTTTACTATTTACGTTCGTTTTAACAATGCATGCCAACAAGTCTTTTCTTTCGTGTAGTCAGCAGGGCGAGTCCTTCATGGCGCGCTTGCGTCGCCTTCGCTGGCCGATTCTAGCGATCGTCTTTATCGTGACCGCCTTCTCATTCTTCGGCGATGTGAGGCGGTCCTTCGAGATTCCAATCGAGCAGTCCTTCCGGGAGCCTATCGAGGAATCCCTTCGAGAACCCGTCGAGCAGCCAGGTCACCCGATACCCTCGTCTCCCGATGACGAATCTTGGACGTTCGATGTGAAAAGGGATAGTCTTAATTATGGGCTTTCCGACAGCCAATGCGAGGTAAATACCGATCTAGATTTCTAGAAGTATACCGGCGCTCATAATATCACAGAATGCGTTCCCTGATCTATATCAAGAAATCGACCGCGCCCGAGATTTTCTTCTAGAGCAAAACAAACGCATCAAGGAGTCGGACGTCCAGGTTGACGCAAAAAAAGATTACACCGGTCTCCCGCACGGCGAATTCCACGTTATGATTTCGAATGGCGAATTATACGTAATTAAGGAGAAGAAAGGCGAACCGGATCGCTCCCGCGGTCTCGCAGCTCTCGCGAACCTGTATCGCGCTATAACTGCTATCCCCGATCCTCGATCGCTCCCGAACGTCGAATTCATTATCGATATCGAGGATAGAGCAGCCAGGGGGGAAAAGAATGAGGAACGTATCAGATGGAGTTGGGCGCGCGAAGAGGATAATCAGTGGTTATGGGTCATGCCCGATTTTGACGGATGGAGCTATCCCGACGATGGTATAGGGTCCTACGTTCAGTTCCGCGAGGACGCGACGGAGTTGGAGGCCCAATATCCCAACGGCTGGGATGATAAAGAAGACAAGCTGTGCTGGCGCGGGAGTCTGGCCGTGAATCGTAAGCTACGAACCGCCTTGGTGGAGGCTTCGAAAGGTTACGATTGGAACGATGTCGAGGCTATCGATTGGCATAACCGCACAAATATTATGGCCATGAAAGACTTTTGCCGTTTCAAATACGTTGCCCATACCGAAGGCAATTCCTGGAGCGGACGGCTGCGATATCTACAGAATTGCGAAAGCGTCCCGATAATCCATAAGCTAAATTACGTCTTCCACTACCAGCCCCTTTTAAAAGACAGCGGGCCTCACCAGGTATGCTTCCTTAGTCTTCTAATGCGGTATCCGACTAATATCGTTGGTTAGAATTACGTCAAAGTGAAACGTGATTGGTCGGACTTGAAAGCGCAGATGGATGGGCTCGTGGCAGATCCCGATCGAGCGCGGCGGATCGCAAAAGAGTCTGCACAAGTATTCCGAGACCGCTATCTCACACCGGCTGCCGAGGCTTGCTATTGGCGGCGGATGATTCGCAACTGGCGCGCCGTGATGGATTTCGAGCCGCGACGGTACGAAACTAACGATGACGGCGTTAAGGTTAGAAGAGGCGTGAGCTGGGAACGGTTTGCCTTTAGGCAGAGCAAGAGCTTCGAGCATGGATTCTGGGAGTCTGACAACAGCGACACGGTCGGAGCCGAGTAAGGTCTCATTTCTACTTGGCAAAGTTATTACGGATATATATCGCCGACGATTCGCTAAGGTTAGCCATCTGAGATAGCAAGCCACCGCCGCGGATTGGGTTGCCCATCAGTCAGAATTACACAACAGGAATGTAACCCGGCACTGACGCGTAGGCCAAAGATGTAATAGGCCGGTGCCCTGGATGTACGGTACGAACGGGCTGGGTCTGCATATTCTGACGGGCCTAGACATGCACTCATCAGGTAGAGAAGTGGAACGGAGCAAGAAGCCAGATGTATAATGAAGGGACATCCATGTCACTTATAAGTGTTTAAACATTGCTTAGATAGCCGCGGGGCTCTAAGGACTCTTTTATAGCTACACGAGCCTAATTTACTGGCAAGGCGGGTCAGACCGGCGCTGTTACCGCAATTAATAAAATGATGATATCGTATCCCGTCCTTTTCCCGTGGAGGACCAATCAGTCCGTGAGGTTGTAAATCTTCTGGATACCGCGCAACATCTCCTCATGATCCACCTTTAGATCCTTGAGCAAACCATCCTCAAATCCGAATACCCATCCGTGGACGATAGGGAATTGGTTCTTGGCATATGACTGCTGGACAGCCGCCGTCTTGATGACATTGCGGCACTGCTCGACAACGCTGAGCTCTACTAGGCGATTGTAGCGCTCATTCTCATCCTTGATATCGTCTAACTCTTTCTCGTGCAGGCGGTAAACGTCCCGGATGTTCCTCAGCCACGGGTTAAGCAGCCCTAGGTCCTTGGGCGTCATAGCGGCCTTAACACCGCCGCAGCCGTAATGTCCACACACTACGATATGCTTGACCTGCAGGTGGCGGACCGCGTAGTTGATGACGCTCATGACGTTCAGGTCGGTATTGACGACTAGGTTGGCGATGTTGCGGTGAATGAACGCCTCTCCCGGTCCCAAGCCCGTGATCTGCTCAGCCGGAATTCGCGAATCGCTGCATCCTATCCATAGATATTCCGGGGTTTGCCCAGCGGATAGCTTATCGAAGAACTCGGGATCCCTCTTCCTCTGCTCCTCGGCCCAGGCACGGTTGTGCTCGAACACACGGTCGTGCGTCTGCTTCAGGTACTTGGACATCTCAGTCTGCGACATGGCGCGCCAACCGTCGGTGCTTACGGTCGAGTACCTTGGAAAATGGCGGATACGTTGGAAGCTGCCCGAGTAGATAGTTCGTCTCGTAGATGAAAGAATATGTTGGGCTATACGAGCTTTATGAGGCATCGGGCCCGTTGAGAATAATACGCACGTAGGAAATCGGCGCGTTGAGAAGAAGTCCAAGGACAAGGATTTCTTGAGTATGCAAGATTTGTTGAGACCGCCCAGATCCCGAAACGCCATAAGACGTCAATAGTGGGGGATCTACGGAGGCGGGCCTCTTGTAAGTTATACTACATTAGGTACTTGCCATAGGTAATGCATTCTATCTATGTAGGTGTCTACTTGTACCTAAGGTGCCTAGTCATTATTCACTTGCACGCTTTCCACGATGTTTTGTTTTCGCTGCCTTATGAAAATTGTTCAATGTCACCAATGATATCACCAAATAGAAGCATATGGTGGATTAGTTTCAATTTCAAATCGAGTTGGGAATAGATATTGTATTGTATAAGATACGAGATGCTTCTTGGAGTTTCGTCATTCTTCCGAATTGTACTAGTAGCTAATTCTAATTTAATAGTCTTCTTACTTGCATTCACTAGAGAACGCTAATTTCTCTAGCGTCTCTTTAAATACCGCGTGGCTGTATTAGATCGGTATCGCGTATAAGAATACTTGGAAACTATTCCCTTCGGTGTCTATGGCCTATGAACTAAGCTATTGGTCTTTTATCTTGCCTTGGGCGACGGGCATCATCTAAATAAGCACCCTTACTATTCTACACTAGTTATATGATTACAACACCTTGAGTAGGTAATAAAGATTAAACTTGTTATATCTGCAATATTATAATGGGATCTGGCATTTATGTTTAGTATACCACGCATACAGGCGTATTAGTCAGGGGCTGGCTTTAAGGTATAAACTTTGACGCGACAAAACCACTCAATCTTCAAGGGGTTCTCCTGGCATACTCTTCTCGAATATTTTGAGCCATTGAAACCAAATTGGATGGTGTTGAAGTAAACCCTCGTATTCGTAGTAGCGAATTTGATGTTATTAGGTAGTTGCCTTATACGCTTGAAATTTTCTATTGGATATATCCCCCTTTAAAAGCCATAGGTATCCGTGGGAAACGGCCCATACTTTTAATGCAAGAGGTCCCTTATATTAATTAAAACTACTAGAGGGTCCAAACGCCTGGCGGTCCCTCTTCGCTACGCTCAGAAGGAACCAAAAATCTGGGACGAACCAAAAACCTGGGACAAATAGTATTTACTATGTAGAATGTATGGGCTGCATTAACATTTTCCAGTAATTTAAAAGTTTAACTTTACTGATATAAAAGCTATTAAAATAATTTTGATATTAAAAAATTCTTTGAAAAATAATAAAAATTCTGATATAAGTTGCATGCTTATAGTTATAATATTGGCTAAGTTATAGCTATTATAGTGTAGTGTTTTTTAAAAAATATGTAAGATGTTTAAACTTCTTACACCTCCTTCTTAAAAAACAACTAAAAAAAGCTTACTTTTTTACTTTTATTTTTATTTAAAATTGAAAAAATTACTTTTCTATAGAATAAAATATTTAAAATATAATTATTATTGGGAGTATATTTTTATCTATTTTATTTATTTAAATATAGATTGTTAAAAGTTGGATTTTATATGGGAAACACGTATTTTGTTGCTAAGGTTGTCCTAGAATTTTGGTTTGTCCTAGGTTTTTGGTTCCCTCTGAGCGCAGCGAAGAGGGACCGCCAGGCGCTTGGACCCTCTAGTAGATACAGCAAAGGACCAAAGGGCGTGACATCACTATAGCATTTTCTATTCACGGCTACAATTCCCAGTTGATAAAGCCACGCTAGAATACGGTTAGATATAGAAGCACCTATGTACATAGGGATCCAAAGCTACGCATATCACTTCTTCCTTTTCTTACTGTTTCCAGCTAACTCAAAGACAGACGGATCAATTCACTTCTCAAGCCTTCTGTATCCCCTTATGATGTTGTGATCGATGAATAGATAATTAAATATGATTAAACTATGCCCACTCCACCTCAAGGGCTCGTAACTTCAACATCTCAAGTAAATACTAACCTACATATTTATACCCAGGGTTTTGAATAACAAACGGCCAGTTAAATGAGGCTAGTAGTCTATCACAGGTGAACAGAACGAGTGAATTTTTACGACCCACAACGGCATAGGTATACCCTACTACTAGCACATAAAACTACCTTAGGTACCTACTTGGTTAACACACAGGATTTATGAGAGTATTAAAATCCTGATCATTAATCATTATTGGCACCCTTATCTAGCAAGCTTTAACTACAATATTCGAGATTTCGTGCGAATCGCGATTTAAGAACGCCGTGGGGTCAACAAGGGTATAAGGCATAAGTAAAAAATGCGACGCACGCTCCTCAATACTTTTATGAAGAACGATGGTAAAATAAGTCAAAAGCACTCGGGTGCAGAATATTGCTTATTTTAATCCCGTGCGCTTTTTCAAGTATATTGTAGGCTCTTTTAGTCAAGTTATGAAAGTGTGTAGATTACCTATTTTTACATATGCTACAGACTTGAACTAACATGATGTAAACGTTTCTTTCTATGAGTACAAGGGCTCAGCTAGATGATATATGTGGAAGAAAAAAAGAATAAGGTCATCTCCTCCGGGAAGGCTCGAACTTCCAACCTCCTGATTAACAGTCACTACGATGATAGGATTAGTTGGTGAATATTTACATAAACCAAGTGGATTGGACTTACGACGCGCTAGCCAATTGCGCCACAGAGGACGGTATTTTAATTAAGTGACGATAGCCCTGGCTTTTTACCTATATAAAGTCGACGCCTTTCCACCAGAAGCATCGAGGTACATATTATATGCTTTATCGCTTAAGTTTATGCTTGGTGGAATACTAAGAGGTGTCCCGTTCCATTGGAGTTACTCTTGTTTATGCGTTGGCATGTGTATATATCAAACTATTAACTAAGAACGCATAATTACAGGCGAACATTAATATATGATGGAGTGACATAGACCGTTGAAACGAATTGGGCTTATCGGTACTTGACATTTGGGTTGTAATTTACATCCCTTCTTCATTCCAGGGGAATTCAATGGCTAGTCACACTTGGGTATTCAACTCTCCGTATTATAAACTACCATAATTCTAAAAGATACGGTATATGAGCCGTATGTTGCACACTAATTCAGTCTACCTATCAACCGTATGAATGCAGAGAGGAGGTCCTTCTTATATATAATTTCCACTCGAAGACGCTATGTACTGTACCTGAAAGCAGTCGTGTGACCATCCATTTCAACATATAAATCTCAGGCAGACGTACCTCAATTCAACGTTCGACCTACTTAAACTTTGGCCATCTATCTATATGATATTAAACTTGTGGGTTAAATACACAACGGCAAAAAGCCGCTAATGTTGTCTTCGATATGTCAAGAGAATAGATAGTGTTTTAGACGAAATTCCGGTCAGTGTCTTGTTTAGAATACGGCATGTAAGTAAATGTTGTTCAAATTCACTATAGATAGAATTTCGAGCTGTCTACGTAACAGTATCCTTAAAAATAGGTTATGTCAAAACTGGGGTCTATATGTAATGGCATATATACATGGTAAATGGAAGAACCTTGTCTTCATACGTCTGACTATGGAACCTCGAGGGTGCCACTCAGTCGAATATCGCGGCTACTCGCGCCGACGGTGAAGTTGAAAATACCAGAGGGAACAACCCAGCTTTGCTTTGTTGTATCCCAAAAACTTAAATCTCGCCTCTTGACTTCGAAGGCGACAATATCCTTAGCGCCTGGCTCTAGGGCCAACTTCTCAAACCCGCGAAGCTGCTTTGGCGGCGCGGCAGCGGATTCCGGGTACTCTATATATAATTGGGCTACCTCGGCGCCTTGAACAGCGCCCGAGTTGGTAATTGTGGCGGTAACAGTTACTACCGTCTCCCAAAGGTCAGCAGGCCCTCCCGGTATGATATTCCCAGTCGCAGGGCCCGCTGTTGGCCGCCCATCAACGAAAATATCGGAGTAAGTGAAGTTAGTGTACGCTGCGGAGTAGATTTAGTTATGGAACATCCCTACGAAAAGAAGGATGTCGAGCCAACTTACATAAACCATATCCAAATTCGTACCTAGGAGCGATGCCTTCTTTATCGAACTTGCGGTAGTCAACGTATAGACCCTCCTTGAAGTCGTCATCGCCTTGGCTGGCGCTAGTTCCGTAATCCGCGGCGGCCTTAGCAATAGTGTACGGCAGCTTGCCCGAAGGGTTGGAGTCTCCGTAGAGAACGTCCACGAGCGCGTTTCCATTCTCTTGGGACGGGAGACCAGCCCACACGATCGCCTTGACGTTCGGCTGCGCAAGGATCGTCTCCAGTATGACGGGGCCGACGGAGTGCACAACCACAACCACATTATCGCTCGCTGCCGCAACGGCCTTGACAAGCTCGTTGCCATTGTGCCACGGGTCAAGATTATTGCGGTCGCCCACGTTATCTTCCACGGTAATGTACCCTTCGCCGCTGTCGGATGTGACGAATACGATAGCGACGTCCGCCCCGTCGACGGCCGAGCTTACGGAGCTGGTGCTGTCAGACGAAGACAAGCTGATCTGCGTCCCATCGGCATCGGCTCGGGTCTTGATGGCATCTGCCGGAGCGCTGAAGTACGGATAAGAAGCAGTTCCGGAGCCCCAGCCCATTCCGAGGGCGCCGGTGTTGCATCCTTGGTCGGTACAAGAGTTGATTCCTTGGGGGTTGGCAACAGCAGCAGAACCGACTAGTCCGAGCTTGCCGGGTTTCTTTAGAGGGAGAATACCCCCTTCGTTCTTTAGTAGGACGATCCCGTCCCTCGCCGTCGCGCGAATATTTGTCTTGTGGGTTCCTTGCACGTTTGCTTTGAGATTGATCGCGGGATAGCCACTATCCTGGCCTAGCAAGTACCACGCCGCCAGAATCCGACGCACCATGTCATCGAGACGCGACTGCGGCACCTGACCGCTGCTTACAGCCTGATTCAACTTTGAGCCCCAGTACAGAGACCCGCCGTTAAAATCAGTACCAGGCATTGTCATGTCTAGTCCGGAGGTCGCAGCCTCGACAGTAGAATGTTGCGCGTTCCAGTCCGTCATGATGTATCCTTGGAACCCTAGCTCCTTCTTCAAGAGCGTGTCGAGAGCGTATGGGCTGTGTCATCGTCAGTTGGCCATTTCTAATAAGTGTGATCTTGGCCGCTCAAAACCCTGCAAATATAAATTTCGCAGACTAGGAGTCACCGGTGCTCGTGAAGAGTAGGGATAGCGCCTGAGAAAGAATAGAACTGGTAATTAAAACTTACTTCTCGCACGTCCAGGTACCATTAATCTTATTGTAAGAACACATGACCGACGCGACGTTTGCGTGTACGGCATCCGCGAAGGGCCAAAGATAAAGCTCATGTATCGTTCGATCATCAATATTAGAGCTTATGGTCTCGCGGTTGAGCTCTTGCTCGTTGAGGATGTAGTGCTTCGCATTGGCCTGGACACCAACGCTCTGCATGCCCTCAATAGTTTCCGCCATAGCGATACCTTGCAGGTAAGGGTCGGCACCGAAACCCTCCCAATTTCGCCCACCCGTAGGGATCTTACCGAGAGGACCGGCAACGGGACCTAGCAACACGTGGATGCCGCACCCTTTCGTCTCCTCGGCCATGAACTGTCCCCGCTCCCTCATCAAGGCACGATCCCAAGTCGCGGCGATTTGTATTCCCGGAACGAAGGCATTATTCCCAGTGGCAAATCGGATGCCGAGGGGTCCGTCTTGTAAGCACAGCTGAGGATAGTTGATAGAACTCGCGGGCGCCGTGTTACCGACGCAGGGCCCTTTATTCCAGCCAACTCCCGTAACGATGTTGATTTTGTCATTCTGAGAGAGCTTCGCTAACGAAGCATTTGCTTTCTCGTAGGCCGCCGCCCAATCGAGTGACGCGGCCGCGGAGACCGTTGTCAACGCCGCAGCAAAGACAGGAAACTTCATTGTTGGCAACCGAACACAAAATATACCGAGGAGCAAGGTCAATACGGGCATTTTAAAGTTCTTGGAGGTTCCCCACGAGTCTTATATGAAACGCCCGGCGAATATATCGTTGCTTGTTGGTGTGCCTAGGCCCATACGTGATTTGCTGACCCTAAAACTGCGTCCTATATGGCGTCATAAAGACACCGGATCTACTAGATTTGGCAATCGACGGAGAATGGAAAGGAGGCCTATGGCATTTTCTTGCCGCGTTCCACGCCTCCCTATAGATTGATCTCTTGTCCCATCTTGGCCGACGGCACCTCCTCGGCTCGTAGCTCTCGATATATTGAAGATCTTCTCCCCTAACGTGGGCAGCATGGTATTTTCCCGGAGCGCGATGGGATTTTAAGCGGTTGAAGAGGGAAAAGGGCCTTTAGTTCCGGTCCGCAATACCTATATATATATTAATTAAGGTGCTGTTACATCCAAGGTTCGCGCTACTCAACCATGCACGTACCTGAATGATACTTACCCAAAGTTTGACGTCCGCGATCACATTGAACTGCTAGCGGATGATTTGAACAGAGTGTTGTATTGTAAATATGCTTAAAAAAAAAGTCACTTGTGCCTTATCTCAATACAACTTGAACCACAATTCATGGAAGCAGGCTGCGCCCATTTACGCTGGCTTGCCCGTTGGCACCACCAGTACTACGAAACGTATGGTTTATACTAGCTGCGTCGCCTGCCCGCGCAAGCGCGTACGGGGGAAAAGGGAGAAAAAGGAGAAAAAAAAGGATAATGTTAATAAACCACACTTATGCTTAAGGTTTACCTTAAGATGTTGTGTTAAATGCGAGTAAAAATTGCTTATTTAAAATATATGTTTTAATATTTTATAAATTAAAAGGCATTTTAAAAGGATGTTATTATAACCCGAATTTATATTATTATTATACGGTTATACGTTTAAATATTTTTAATATTTTATATTAACATTTATTTTAATATACGTTAAATTATAATTTATTAAAACGTAAAAATTACGTTTATTATACGTTTTAAAAACGTATAACCCGTGTGTTTATATTTATAAATTACGAGTAAATTTTTTAATAAATTATAATTTAAAGTTATTTTAAATTTAAATTTACGTTACGATGAAATTTTAATAATAAAATTTAAATTTTATATTTATAAAAATTTAATATAATATTATAATATATAAAATAATTTTAACTTAAATAATTTAAAATTAATAATATATTAAATTTATTTATTTAAATTTTTTATATATTTATATAATATTACGTTATTATATTATAATTTTAAACGTTAAAACCATTTTATAATAAATAATAATATTATTAATTATTATTATAATAATACTTATAATAACATTTATAACCACGTATAAAATAATTTATTTTATATTTAAAAATAATAATATTATTATTTATTTAAATTTTTTTATTTTTTTTATATTTATATAATTTTATTACGTGTTACGATTAACGCGTTATAATTAATATTATTATAACCGTTATTATAATTATCGTTATAACCGGTGTTATAATTATTTTTAACATTATAAAAAATATAAACATATAAATTTAATTAATAAATTTAATAATAAAATTAATATAATTATATAATTAATTAATATTTATTATAAAAATATATTAACGTTATTATTTTTAATAATTTTATTAATTAATTAATTATTATAATTATTATTATAATTTATATTATAATTAATATTACGATTATTATAATTATATTTAACATTTTTAAAAAATTTAAAACGTATAAATTAATTAATAAATTTAATAATAAAATTAATATAATTATATATAATTATTATTTATTATAAAAATATATTAACGTTATTATTTTTTTAATAATTTTATTAATTAAATGATGTTAATATTATTTTTTATAAATTAATTTTTTAAAAAATACGTATTTAAAATAACTTTAAATTAAAAGTAAAATATTTTAAAAAAAAAGTTATATAATTTATAATTAATTAAAAAATAATGTAATTATAAAAAATACATTTTTAAATTAAATATTAAACTTTAATTTAAAGTTATTTAAAATAAATTAATATTTTTAATACTTTTATTTTTAACATTTTTATTTTTAATATTTTTTAATATTTTAAATATTTAACATTTTCGGCATTTTTATTTATAATTTAATATTTTAAAAAAAAACTTAACGTTTTTTTAACCATTAAACGAAAATAATTAATAACTCGGTTAATTATAAATGTATAAACGAAAATAATTTTATTTTTTAAAATTAAAAAAAAAGTTAATTATTAATGCGTTTATAATTAATTAAATTAAAAACTTAATTATTAAATAAAAGTAATTAATAACTTAATTAATTATAAATATATAAATAAAAATAAACCCGTTTTTAAAAATCGAAAAATTAAATAATTATATTACGTTTTTATAATTATTTTACTTTAAAATTAACTTTAATAAATTCGTAAAAAATACCGTTATATATAATTTAATAAAACGGTTTTAATAATGTTAATTATACATTTATACGGTATTAATTAAACCGTATATCGCCGATTTAATAAAAAAGGTTTTTTTTAATAAAATTATTTTTTTAATTATTAAATAAAAATAATTAATAATTCGGTTAATTATAAATGTATAAATAAAAGTAATTTTATTTTTTAAAGAGCAACATTAGTTGCGCAGTATGCCCATTGCTGCTTGCGCAGTAAAACGGGGTACGTACCTCGCTTTTTCTCCCCCTTTTTAACAACTTCTTTAATAACTTTACGAATACTGGTCCGATTCTTCTCAAATTTACATAATTAATTATATACGAAAATCAGCAAAAGTACGATCCAGGTTGCACGTGATTCGGCCCCGAATTGGCTGAGATATTTAAAGAGTAAGCATTTGTGTATACATAGTGACTTTTTTACTAGTACCTACTAGTTTATTTTAGCCTATTATATAGAAACAGCCATATCTTTACCAAATAAATAGGTAAAAATCAGGGCTCTTTTTTGTAATTTAGGACATTTAGTTATTTAAATTTTACGACTTTTTCGAAATTTATCGGGGCTATATTCGCAAAGTTATTAAGGGTGAAAGGTGTGGAGGTTACAGGGGATAAAGGCCACTAAAAAGAGCCTTGGAACAGCCACTATAGTCAAAATTCATACTTTCAGCCGCATCTGGGTCAATTCTGGTCCAAATCACGTGCACCCTGAATTGTAATTTTGCTGATTTTCTTATATAAATTATGGTATAAATTATATAAGATTTAGAGCAATATTCGTAAAGTTATTTAAAAAGAGGTGCGGAAAGCGATTTTAAACTACCCGGGACAATACCCCGCATACTACGCACCCAACAAACGGCACACTACGCAACTAATGTTGCTCTTTTTAAAACCGGAAAAAAGTTAATTATTAATACATTTATAATTAATTAAATTAAAAATTCTTTTTTAATTTTAAAAAATTTATATTATATTAATTATTATTTTTATATAAATTTAATTATTTAAAATAAAGTTCGGTTTTTATATTATATATATTTAAAAATTATTAATAAAATAATTAATAAAATAATTAATAAAATAATTAATAAAATAATTATAAATAATTATATAAATAATTAATAAAAAATTAATAAAAAATTAAATGTATATAAATTATTAATAAAAAATTAATAAAAGATTAATAAAAAATTATTAATAAATTTTATTTAAAGTTTTAATAAAAATTTTTATTTAAAATTATAATAAAATTTTATTTAAAATTATTATTAAAGTTTATTTAAAATTATTAAAGTTTTATTTAAAATTTTAATAAAACTTTATTTAAAATTATTATTAAACTTTATTTAAAATTATTAAATTTATTAAAAAAACTTTATTTAAACTTATTATTAATAAAGTTAATTATTAATAACATTTACGATTAAAAAACTTTTTAAATATACGTATTAAAAATATACGTATTAAAATTATTAAAAAACGTATAAAAAGTTAAAAAAAGCCGTATTTAATTAAATAACGTTAATTTAAAAAATATAATTATAAATAAATAATTAAAAAACTTTATTATAAACACGAATATTATAAAAATTAAATAAAAAAATAACTTTAAAATAAAAAATATATATTAATGTTTATAAATAATTTAAAAAACGTTAAATAAATTAAAATTAAATCGTTAATAATTTAAAATATAAAATTAATTTCACGTAATTTTATAATTTTAAACATTTAAATTATAATATATATAATAAAATTATTAATAATTACATTTATTTTACTTTAATTTATTATTTAATTATATATATTAATTATTTAATTAATAAATAAAAGTAATTAATAATTTAATTAATTATAAATATATAAATAAAAATAACTTTATTTTTTAAAATTAAAAAAAAAGTTAATTATTAATATATTTATAATTAATTAAATTAAAAACTTTTTTTAAATTTTAAAAAATTTATATTATATTAATTATTATTTTTATATAAATTTAATTATATAAATTATTTATTTTTATTTTATTATAA